TCCTCTTTTTAGTGTATAGGTAAGCAACATTTTAGAAACTATCCTTGTTGCCTGAAACATAACGTCCATTTCGTACGAAAAACAAAGAAAAGCTTCTTTGACTACAGTAGAAACCATAGCATTAAAGGGCACAAATGTTTCTTTTTTTTTTACATTTGTGGCTTTACTACGTAGCATGGATGTCGTGAACAACGCTCACCGAAATATAATTTAGACGGATGATTTCTTGTCCCGTGAATGGATTAGGACTGCAAATTAACCAGTCATATGCCGGTGGCGCCGCTCCCGGTTGCGGCAGAGATCGGAAATATGCGCGTGATGTTTCAATATCTCTTCCTTTATCTTTTCATTTATATCTCCCATACAGACGCACACAAACACGCACATAGACACGCACGCGCACACGCAGAAAAATAAAAAAAAGAAGATATATGTTGAGAGGGGCAGAATACACATTTTACACAACACGCAAACCAATACGCACACCGACAGAGCACACACAACAACTGCACACAACGTACAAAAAACATGATCCCCAACATTCTGGGACATTAGAGCAACTGTATAGGTTCTTACAGTGATTCTGTAAGACATCAACTACTTGCGGCATCTCTCTGCAGATTCGCGCACACACCCAATAACGAATAACAGCAAACACATAGACACACACACGCACAGACGCAAAAAGAGAAAAAGAGAGAGACAGAATACTCATCTCACACAGTGCACAGAAACCAGCCCGCACAGCGACAGAGCACACGCAAAGATCACGTACAAACAACGCACGCATAAACACGGTCTCTCTCTCTTTTTGTCTTTCAGTTGTAGTTTCTCTCTCTATTGCCGTGCCAAAGCCTGCTTTAGTTTTTTCTTTTTTTAATTTTATGTGCTTACATTGTGCAACCAGTCAATGCGTATCTAGGTTCTGCATGGAAGTGTACTACCCGGTACTACGCCTAAACGTGCCAGATAAATTTTGTTTTGTGAACAATATTTATCTGTATCTTGAGAATAGATGTTTCCTTCGAAATTTCCGAGGGGAAAAACAAGGCTCGCCGTGAAGGGAAATAAATTATCGCGTGTTCGAGGACATTTCTTCTTAAAGTGCCTGCTACTCCACGCCGATCACAAGGGACTACTGTACTCCGTCTCACCTTACGATGGACCGCATGGGTGGCTACGAGCCATCCAAGCCAATCCAATCCTCGCAACTGTCACGTGGCCTTCGGCGAAAGGCTCAGCAATACACGTAGTTCGGGTAATAACCTTCACAGCGCTGGGAATGACTGGGCGTGACTCGTAGCATCCGCCTAGGTCCATCGTAAGTTGAAATGGAGTTGACAGAAAGAATGTTTGAGAAGAAACGTATAGACAAAGCACGCGTCGACGTTCTTCCGATTTCTTTAAGGGCTCTCGGGAAGCCGACACGCGTGTCGAGAGAACGATGTACCAACTGGCCCATCTAAGCATTTTATTGTCGAGAGAAACTGAGATACGAAGCGACAACTTTCTCCGCAGAACAAGAAGAAAGAGAGTTACGCCTTAGGAAGGAAAGGAAAAGGCACCTCGAAAAACTAGTGTGTCTAGATTTCAGTGTGTTCTTTTTTTTTTTTTTTCAACTCCTCGAATGGTGTTTTGTTCATACATAGCTTGCAAGTGCCGCCATTGCTGGGTAGTGACGGTTATTCCGAATTACTGGTTACTTCGAACTACAACTTCTGCGGTTTGAAACTAACACGGTGAACCGAACGCTCGCGGAGCATAAGATACTGGCGTGGCCGTTAATGACGTCACAGGCAAGCTATGTGCTGCGAGGAGGTGACGAAAACGTCGATCGTCTGGAAGCGTCTTCGCGTCTCCGCCCGTCATCCTCTTCGTCACGTGACGATGCAACGCATGCGCACTTGCGACCAATCTGCGCAGGGGAGGCACGCCATAAAATCGCAAGCGCTCTCCGTGGTTTGAGTTGCTCCCTCTCTTAAATCTGGGCTCTGCACGACAAAGCAGGAGACACAGGACCCAAGATCGATGTTTGCTGCAAGAAACGCAGCTTCTCGCTGGTCGTTTGTCATTCATTACGAACGGCGGCATCCCATTTTCGAGCGGGTAAGGGGAAGGGGTGTATTTGAAATATCGTTAGGGAGGCGATCAAAAGAAAGGTTTATACGCAGAAATTACAAAAAGAAGTAGGTTCGTGGCAGCCGTCTGAATCATCCGTGTACTTTGTTTTCATTGTCTTTTACTACTACTTGCTCGTGAGACGGTGCCAGGCTTCCTTCATCATTAACATAATGATGATTATCATCGTCGTCGTCGTTTCTAGATACTCTTCACCCGTTAGAAGGGGAATGGCCAACACAATTCAGTTCAATCCAATCCAGATAGTTACAAAGGGAATGGCCAAAACAATCAAATTCAATCCAATTTAAGTCGTTCCAAGGAGCATGACTAACAAAATGCAGTTAAATTCAACCCAGGTTGTTACAAAGAGAATGACCAAAATAATCCAATTTAATCCAATACAGATCGTTGCAAAGGGAAAGACAAACACTATATAATTCAACCCAATCATCATCATGCATGATTTGATATGAAAGCGGTCATTTAGAAAAAAATATATTCAACAGCACACACGGCTTGCACGAGGCGTCATCACCGCGTGCTGGTGTCTGGTTGTCATCCATACTTGTTCTTGACAACAAAAACAAATTCTGTGCGAAATTTGTGCTGCAGAAGATACGTCTCGGTAGAAGAAACACCACAATGGCAGGCGATGTGACGTCGGTGCACGCCATGCCCAAGCTCCAAGCGGACGCAGACGCTTTTAACTAAAAAAGAACTAACACGAAAAGTCGTGGACAGTTTCCGATCGTTGGGCGGGCGGTGGGACAATGGCTGCGATTGTCTTTTTAAATCGGTCCCTTTTACTGAATATTATCTGTAGAGGGAACGGTGGGGGAACAGTTCAATACGATCAGCTCTGCTTTTCTATTCTCTCTCTCCCTCTCTCTTTCTCTCTTGAACGAACCGCGCGCCGTGTAAAAAGATGCAATAAAGTCAGAATCGAAGATCGCAGACGCTCGTTATCTGTGATCATTATTCGGAAGAGGTATACACTGAGCGTCATTGTTACCGCAACCAGGACATCGGCGCTTTTTTCGCATTTTAATGCGAAGAGGAATTGGTTATTGGTGGGGGCACTGCATTTTACTTCTTATGTTAATGTCCTTAGTGAGCTCTACCTAGTTCCCACCAGTTTGAACGACAGCCTTTTTACAGAAAAACCCAGCCCAAACTGGCGACCGGATTTTCGCGTTAAAAGTGTCGCGCTGTGTACAAAAATGCATGGCAAATTACTAGGCAATTATGTTGCACACATGAATCGTTCTAGCATCCCAAACGTCTACATCATCGTTTAGCAGCACGCCTAACCTGTTCGGCCAGACACCTACGTTCACGGCGCTCTTCATCAGATAATTTAACGCGTGGCATGTGTACACTTGAAACCATAAACCTAGTGATCTTCCAGAACCTTCTAACCCACTCCTCCTCTCCCACATCACCTCCTCACCTACCTCTCCTCATCACTTCAAGCCTGGTCGCATGACGTCCCCGTAAATCAATCAGCGTCGAGCACCTCGCACCTCGTCTCCCACTCGTCAACCAATTGGTGTCGAGCCTCGCGGCCACGTTTTTATCCAGGCTTCACTTCCGGGCTTCACGAAATGCCGAACACCTAGTCAAAGCACGTTTACCGTTAGAACAACATGACGTAAATACAAGGAAGCGAGCAACACACGTTGGGATGGACAGACATTGGCGAGGTCTTCAAGCACATAAACAAATTTGTTTTAACTTTTGTATTAGCTTCGCTAAGTGAGAGAGATTAAAGGCCGTGAGTGTTATCGCATCAGTATGGTTGGGCATCGTACAGGTGTGGTCGTGTATCAGTGCTGCATTACGCACGTTAGAAAGGCTCGAGGTTAGCGCTGTCAAGATATCTCATCCACGGCGTGAACCAGGTGTGTAGTCATATCACAAAGGTGAACCGACCTTCAAGCGCTCTTTACCCTCAGATGTAATTTGCTTCTGACGTTTGCTCGGAGTACGTGGAACCCTACTCGTGATGATCCTGAATGTACTATGCTGCTACACTTCTCTCTAAGCACAGAGTATGGTAGGTTCCGGTAGCCCGAAGCTGATGAGTCAAACTAACCATAGACTCATCTGGTGGCCTTGCCTGGAAGAAACAAGCGTAGCTTTTTTTTATCAAATTTATGCAGTTTCAGTTTGCGGGGCATCGAATGACATACCGCTGTCCGTAACGGCTAGTATGCCATCTTCAGATCGGCTCCTGGGCGTAATGCAATATTCTCATTATCTAGATCCTTCCTAACAACCACTTCTCTCAGCAAGTTTAGGTTTTCCTCATTTAAACAACCTCCGGAAAACCGAACTGTCGGGTCAAAATAGTCAGGCGAAGCGGATGCCAATCATCCACGAGGACCATGAAACTCCATAAGGTGAACTTCACTCGCCGCGTTGCAACCGCGGAGGCGCCTATTCCGTTCCATTTACGTCATCCACCCCCGCACGAGTCGTGATATCGGCCCACCATACTCCAAAAGCCTCGTCCAGTCCACACACCAGCAGAAAGAGAAAATAAACAAGACACACAAGACGACGTCCTTGCCGAAGATCTGTGCACACGGACCTGAGGTCCAAACGCAACGATGGTCACCCACGTCATCTTGGACGTCAACGCACGCCAACGTACTGCAGCGTGCACTACTGCATCGGAACGGTGTTTTCAGTGCACGCTCGCGGCACAAGGGCGCTGGTCCCGAACCTCCTTGCCGTCCACCCTGATTTAGCCCGGTCACGTGCACATTCCAAAACGGTGGTGACGTCACCATCCCCGCGCGTTGAAAATTTTTAGGCGATCTATATTTAGACCGGAAAGGGGGGACTCCTTGATGTGTGTTCTTTCGCTCTGTGGCCAGATCTTCTGAGTCCCGTCCCGTGGACGGTACGGAGCCGCCGGTGGAAGCTACTGCGGAGGTTGTGCGCCTTGTGGTTGACGTGGCCGTCTGCGTTGTTGGATTCTGTGACCGCCGGTTTGGCGGGTGGTGCTGGTTTGGTCCGTCCTTGAGAGACATTCCATTGGAGTTGCGGTGTGGAAACTATATACCTGTCACGGGTGTTTAGTGCCTTCCGAGTCGGTGGTCCTGTCTCGGGAATACTTCAAGGTCTGGAGCAGTATTGGAGTTTGGCACCGATCGCCGAGGTTTGCTGGTGGGTGTACGTTCTTTGTTTCGCCCTTGTCCGCATCAATGGCCGATGGACACATCAACTGTCCTAGTAATTAATGGGGCTGCAGAGCAGAAGAATCAGTCAACCACGAATGAAAGGGGACGAAAAGACAGAGGGCGTCCTTTGCAGGTAGTTGTCACAACAGTCCGAGTAGAATCAACTCCCTTTGGATTCTTGATAAGGCTTGCTTATGTTCCCTCATAACGCCATGCTCTTGGTTCGAGAACGTATAGTATGTCTGTAAATATATACTCTCTATTTCACATTTGTTACATTTGCGCGGCCTTGTTGGCACGGCCGGTAGCCAGCGATGTTCAGACAACTAGTGTGATGCTTGGTGATGTGAAGAGAGAACAGTGCAGAGGCCTTGCATCTGGGTGGTGTTCGTGCGATAGACTCTTCTACCAAAAATGAAACAATAACTTAGCGTGGCGCTGTCAAATTGAGTTTTATTTTTATTAGTATGGTGTTGTATACGATTAATTGCGATGTTAATGTCACTATCTTCATTTTTGGCTTCTGTTTTTGTTGTGCTCTGTCAAATCTTCAGGGTTTGACAGAAAGCTTTGCAAGCCCTGCATAAAGCATTACAAAACACCAGAAAATTAAGAGTTGAGGTGAAATTGCAGCCTTACTTCGAGGAACACAATTGATTTAATTCAAAATTATGCACATGCCACATGGCTTAAAAATACGTGCGGTGTTCTTTAAAAAATATTTACCCTTTCAACACAAAAAAGTCGTGTGATGTTACGCGAAATTAAACATTGCATAAAGTTAAAATGACATCTCATTTTATAGAATAATTATACCTAAGTGTATTATTATACATCACTGTGGAGGATACATGATAATATACATATCACCATACACATGATAAGTGTTTCTGAAGAGAAGTGGCATTGTACACAATTACACAAATTTCGCATTGCTAGGAATAGATTTGGTGTCACATAAATATCCGTACTACACGTAGATTGAGAGACATCTGGTTACGCTAAGGTTATTGTACGTTACGCATATCGCACATAAAAAGAAAACTTGGAATAATGTGAATATGACTGTACATCCTGCATGCGGCTCATAGCTGGGAACACATTTAATTTCCTTAAAAAATAATCCTTTTGACTTGCCACTTACTGATAATGGCCCAAACCACACACACACACACACCTACCATGGACGCCGAGCCATGTATATGACGCTTGGTGGGACTCAGGAGGCAGCTCTTCCAAACAAAGAGCTTCGATGTTCTCGATTCGAGATATATACCAGAGAAGATTGAGTGTCAACAGTTTGACCGTTATCCTAGGCCTCCAACAAATAAAACGAGGATAACTTGTTCTGGGTGACCCCAGTTCAACATTCTTGAGCCACATCGCTTGTCCACCAAGACTGTTCTTTCGTGTCAAGTAGGTGACACACGGGCGTGAAATAAACGTTGCCACGGTCAATGATAGGTCAATAAAGAGGTGCACGGTCACCCGTGCATCTTATTACCGTTCCGCATCCAATCAGATTGCGACGTTGGCCGATAAGGAGGCAGAAGAGCCAATCACGACGCAAGAAGGCGGGAACATTATAAGCCACACCGAGTATACACCAGTTCAACTCTCTGGCGTCACGCCGCCGTGGTGGCGCTGCTGTCGGTACTGAGCATGGCTAGGTGGCGTAAGCTACCGCCCGATCCAAAGGGCTCAGCCGGATTCATCCATCCATCCATCCAGCATGCGCAAGACGCTTTCTCGCTCGCACGAATCTGGTTTGTGCTTACACGCTGTGCCCACACAAGTTGTATTTTGTATAATAACTTGAATGAAACCAAAATTGCGGGAATTGGTCGGCTTGATCCAGCGAGACATTTCGAAAGAAAAGTAAAAATGCCTGCTTTCTTTCTCGTGACGACCTTGCCCATTTTAACAGGCAGCACTGTTGAATTCCGGAGCCAAGCACTGAATTAAGCATTTCCCGCGAGTGTCATCAAGAGTGAATATGAGTTTTGAGTAAGAATGTAAAAGTATTTAATTTTAATAAAACTTGTCCCTTTTTTTTTTTGTGAGTACCACTGCGTTAAGTTTTCAATGAGATTTTGTGCCATTAAAGACATAGCAAGAAAAAGTAAAAGAAAAGCGTCGCTTTCGACACCTTTTCATATAATTTGCATTAATATCAGAGTTACCGAATAATCGGTTAAATTATCGATTAAAGAGTGACGATTAACCGGGTTATTTTTTTATGAAAGCCTAGCCTTAATTATTTCGAATCGTTCACTTCATCCAGGCAATCCAAGGCTTGATGTGGGGAACCTTCTGCGGCCTGTCATCTGCGGTGCAGTAGATTTGACAGTTGTTCAGTCGGTAGACGTCGACCCACGCCCTGGTACAGTCTCCCCGCTTTTAAAGTTCCCCCAGTTCGCTGAAGGACATTGAGGCAAATTGTGAATATACCGCGTTTTCCGGACTATAGTCCGAGGACTATATACATGTTGAAAAAGTTGAAATTTTACACGGTGCGGACTATACCAGGATTTACTTTTTTCTTGATTGATGATTAGGACACGACGGATTATGTGAATGACAGGGCACGTTATTGATGGTTGTTGTGTGATGCAAGCTTGTTTGTAAGCTGATAAAAGAGGTATTTGTCAAGGTGTGCTCTGTATAAAAAATAATTTACACGTGCGGGCTGAACACCAGGTGCGGAATGTGCACCAAACGCAAACTATCTAATAAAGAAAGCGTTTCTTTTTTTACAGTTTTGTTTATGTCCATTTTATACCAACACGTTGTCTACAAAGAAGCCCGCATTTGCCCACACACCAGATGCGCGTAAGATGACGTGTGTGCGCATTCGCATTTGCGACAGCAGCGCCCCGCTGCGGCCTGACGTCACAGAGTTGAGTTGGTGTAAACACAGGGTGTGGACCATAGTCCGAAAAATACGGTATTTTCGCCTGTGAGTGACTCCATAAAACGGAGCTCTAAAACGAGACAAAACAATGGAAGAAATAAAGTATACTTTATTTCTATAGTTGCGGTTGGAATGTATATCTTACAGTTACCGAGCCTCGAAGTAAATTATATCACAACTACACTTATTTCTGGTCAGAAGTACCGACCTCCGACTATAAGTTACTGAAAACGTAATTAAATTACAGTAGCTCAATTACTGAAATTAATTTATTACCTAAGTATGAAGTGGGCCGTTGGCTTTAGAAGATATGACGGAAGCCACAGAGGCACACACCTTTCGAAACCCTGTCACATTTGAAAGGTGCGCCGAGATGATTTTATCATCTCAGCGCACCTATATTATGGCGACAGTTAACGAAGGCTCACCTGACGACACTAATCAACTCTTCATTCGAACAGACGTACGACTGCTAGGGTCAAAGGCAACCCTCCCAACACCCTTGAACAACTAAAGGGCTTTGCAAGCACGGCACCCCTCTTTCCAATTTTCAAACGTGCATCACTCGAAGTAAAGCCCCTGAAAGGATTTAGTCATGGGTGTAACTTCTGGTACACCCTTACTGAGAACGTGAAACTATTTAATCTGCATTTGTCCGAGTCGCTACACTGTATTATCTGTTATAGCATATAAAACCGGCTAGATGAGCTTCGCTTGCCAATTTTCGGGTGGAAAAAGGTTCTTTTAATGAAAGTTATATACTACCTTCTGATATCGTCAAAGTCCCGTTTCCTTCCTTCTAGTCTTTCACCCATTCTGGTGTCACGTTCCTTAAAGTTTCCTCCGTCACACAGATTGTATCATTTTTTTTTTTCAGTAGGCTTAACTGCACTGTTTTGCATCTTACGTAGATGTTAACTTTTAATATTAAAAACACCGGCTAGGTGGCGCAAGCCGACGTCCATCTTAAAGAGTTAAGCCGTATGCATTCGTTCATTCATCCTTGGCAGCGCCTAACCTTTCTTCGGCGTTCAGTGGAACGCGTCTTCGGCTGTTGTATTTAGCGTCCTATCCCGCCCATACCTCAGAAGTTGTCCCGAAGTGGCAACAAATGACGTCACAGAAGCCGGCCTTTCATGCAGTCGGATGTCGCGATCCTGGCGTTCGGTTGCTAGAAGTCCCTACAGAAAGTACGAGCGAACGCGAGTGTCGCTGTTGTCGCGGAGTTCCAACTGCTGGCAGCCTAAGCTTTTCTGGGCTGTCAAGCATGGGAGCGACCTACTGCAGAACAGGCGTGTACCACATCCTCCAGCGCTACTGTGACACCTCCAGGACCGCGGCCTGCTACATCATGGCGCTCCTATGACGTCATCAGGCGGAATCCGAGGGACCAGTTTTTAGGACGTGGTAAATAGACCAACCAGAGACGCGTTCCAGATACGCGGCCGTGCCAGTACACGTGCAGGAAACTAAACACGAAATGGAGCGATGACGCGCCATGTGCTCTCATCCGGAGCTTGAGTAACCACCACGGAACGCGCCCGCGCCGCGTAGGAATAATAACACATATGGTAGCGAGCATCGTGGGAGCATAATATTTTCCATGGTGTATGTATACGTTGCCAGGGACAGTTGAGACGTCGGGAGAGATTGATGATTGTTTGGGGTATGGTTGCGGTGCAAGCACGCTACAGGAGGTGTCTCGCCTTCCTAGCAAAATCTCTTGAAATAACTCCGCTCCATGTGACGTAACGGCCTCCAGGAAGTGTGGGGTGTTTGTTTTCTTTTTTTTTCTTTGGCTTTTGTTGTAAGAAACAACGTGAAAGCGTGATTGGTTAAACTTGAAGGTGCGCGTGTGTGGACGGTGCAGTTTAAAACATCAAACATCGCACATAGTTTACCATGAAAGTCCTTTCACAGGTTTCCAGTCGCAATCTTTCGGATGAACTTAGAACACGGCTAGAATAACTACATGAATTTGGAGTTGCGAATAGTGGAACAGGTATTGCCGATCCATATACACACGTAATCGCCTGTAAGCAAGCTCTTTTTTTTTTTTTTTTACGAGAGTTGTTTATTCAGGAGCGAAGCATCTGAGCATGGTCCGTGTGACAGCCAGTGACGTCATCTTGAAGTGAAGCCAGAAACATGAGTTGTTGCGTACGCAGTCTGTTGAAAGCAGCTGGCTTTTTCAGTAGTTCCGAGGTCCAAAACACGAAAATAAATAAACTAGTGAGGACATTCTAAAAGAACGGTAAGCACCCAGAAGACAAGGACACGTGAATGGGACACCGCAGCACGCTTTGTGGTATTTTCTTCACGTGCATTCGACTGCTGGGTGTGAATTAAGTGGTTCCAAACAAAAGTTTTATGGTGCCTGAAAAATTCTCGAGGAAGCAACGACACATGAAGACACCACAGCGTACTTCGTCGCGTCTTCTTCACTTGGGTTTCTCTTCAAGGTACCTTCAGTTTCTTGGTTTAAAGTGTCCCAACCGAGCACTGTGAGGACTTTGGAAATGCTCCGAGAATACGAGCAGTGAAGAAGACATCGTAGTGCGCGTTAGGTCTTATCTTCTTAGCGTGTTCTTTTCACGTGAGCGTTTTCAGTTCAGTTAATCAAAGGGCCCCATCCAAATGCTGTAAGATGCTTAAAAAAAAAAAAAGGAGACAGAAGACAGAAATAAGCGAAAAAGACGCAACAGTACGGTTTGTGGTGTCTTCTTTTATGTCCTTTACTTCTAGGTTTTCTTACTTTTGTAAAGAAGACACCACAAAGTGCACTGTGCTGTTTTCTTCACGTGCCATTGTCTTCTCGGTACTTTACGAGGTTTCTCGTGTGGGGGGGCCGCGAGGCCCTGCCACGTTATTTAAAGTGAGGACATAGAACGAGACAAGCGAACGACGTGTCTGCCTGTGATGGCGGCTTCAGAGCATTCTCTTGCACGCGCTCCCCGAGGCGCGTGCGCGTGCTGCGCCTCGAGCCATCTCTTTTATTTTCATGAGGAGAACATATCTGTAGGGTGTAACGCACCCACAGATCCATTCTTCTCATGAAAATAAAAGAGATGGCTCGAGGCGCAGCACGCGCACGCGCCTCGGGGAGCGCGTGCAAGAGTGCAAGAGAATGCTCTGAAGCCGCCATCACAGGCAGACACGTCGTTCGCTTGTCTCGTTCTATGTCCTCACTTCAAATAACGTGGCAGGGCCTCGCGGCCCCCCCACACGAGAAACCTCGTAAAGTACCGAGACGACAATGGCACGTGAAGAAAACAGCACAGTGCACTTTGTGGTGTCTTCTTTACATATTTTTGTCCTTACCGTGTCCTTGCCTCTTTCGTGTCTCTGCCTTCAGTTTGTGGTTCAAAGGGTCCCAACGGAGCGTGGTAAGATGTCTGGAAAGACCCCAAGAAGACAAGGACACATGAAGAGGACACCTAGTGTGCTTTGTGGTGTCTTTTTCCCATGTCCTCGTCTTCCAGGTGCCCTTAGTTCTGTTTTATAAAGGGCACCAGCCGAGAGCTCTTATGTAATGTCCGCCAGCCAACGAGTACTGTCCTCGTGCCCACAGGGCGGCGGCAGGTCTCCGCCGGCCATGGTGAAGCGGCGCTGAGCCGGGGGCGCCCCTGAAGCCCCGGCAGCGGCCCCACGGCAAGGCTGGCCGAAGCGCCCCCCGGCGCCGGCCAGCTGGCCCCGGAGTCCCAAGGGGCCAGACCCAAGATGGGCCGGGGCAGCAAGAAGTCCTCCTCTTCGACGGCAGCGGCGAGGGCCAAGAGGGCAGCGTCCCAGCCGCAGCGGAGCAAGCCCAGGGCCCCCCGAGGGTCCGCCAACTCTGGGGTGCTCAGCTCGCTGAACATGGTGCAGCTGTCGCTGCTCAACAGCGGCCTCCTGCCTCTGCCGGACGAGGCGTCCGCCTTCATCCCGACCAGGCCCATCGAGCTGGCCAGGTTCCCCAAGCACATCACCCTCTTCAAGAAGTACGATGTCTTGCTCAAGACCGAGTTTCTGGTGGGTGTCCTCCGTTTCTTTCTCGCTCCCTTTCTCTTCAAGGATGAATGGATGGACATAAACGGCTGTACCCTTTATAACGGGCGGTAGCTTGCGCCACCTAGCCTAAAAACGAAAAATATTCGCGATCTTGAATCATGAGAGAGCCGGGTTAGGGGTTGTTGTTGTTAACAGGTCCTGTATGGCCTTGTGTACGTTTTTTTTCCCGACATCCGAATTTTGTAAGAACTACTTCACGCAGCGTATGAACACTGCACAGAACTTTTTTTATTTTCTTGGCGTGACAGCGAGTACCGTCACTTACAGCTTAAAAAAACAGCAAGGGCGTGGTGAGTCCTGAGCATTTTGGTATCACTCCGCCGCCAATGAGGTGGAGGCTGTAAGAACTCTAGAGAACGGAAGCGTGAACAAAATAAAACAACCTGCATTTCTTAAACTGTGTCGACGACAGTTTAAGTCCTGACTTATAGTTTAAGTGGAAGTTCTGACCTTTAACCTTAACCGTTATTTGGCTAGTTGCTGCGGGTTCCGTGAAGCCGTGGCCTGTGACGTCACATACTGCAACGCGCGCAGTGATGCATTATGGGACTTCACAGACTTGCAGACCAGTTCAGTTTCTCCGCTAAATTTAGTGGAGAAGTTGAATTGGTGTATAGGTCGCGTGACATCAGGTCACGTGCCGTCAGTTTCCCCGCTAAATTTAGAGGGGAAATTAATGTCACCTGACATGATGTCACGTGACCTGTATAGCAATTTAGTTTCTCCTCTAAAGTTAGCGGGAAAATTAACATCACGTACCTACACACCAATTCAGTTCCCCCGCTAAGGTTAGCGAGGAAATTGACGTCATGTGACCTGATGTCACGTGATGCCAGTACATTTCACGTATGCAACACAACTGCGTAGCAAATTGTCATGCAGTTAATTTTTTTACAGCCAAGCTGTAAATGGCTAGGGTTCCTTGCATTTTTGATATCCGTGTGCAAAAACAAGTCAGAAATCGCATGTAAAAGCGCTCCATTGTATGGAACTTTATATACACCCCTTTACCTCGACATGTATTTTGATAAGGACGTCGAAACGTGTGATAATGGAGATACATCCGAGAGTAATGGGCCTCCTCCCGCTCGAGTCGGGTGACGTCAACGCTTTACGTAAACAAAAACAGCAGCTGCCGAGCAGGGCATTTCATTGTGTTCTATTGGGACTCCTGAAGAGCGACGTGTCTATGACGAGCGCCAAAAATCTCACCAAAGCTGTAATGGAACCCATTAGTGCATATCATAGTGATCACAAAGCAATCATCACTACCATTTCACAATGATGTATATATACTGTTAATAAACATTTGGTGAAGTGCTTTTGTACGTCTCTTGGTGAATCATTTGTGGTAATGCTCTACGGCTTCGCTGGCCAACAACCTTCACAGAGTGAAATGGCTCCAAATTTGTTTTGTTTAAATTTTTCATACAGTTTAAGCCCCGGCTTTTGGTGACCCAAAATTATAGAACTGTCTTAAATGTGGGGAAAAGGATAGTAGCCTGACCCCTCTCCCTCCTCCAGCGCCATTGGTAGGTTAGGAAAGATAGGTCGTATCTCGCGCGTCGAAAGAACAAACCATCCCGGCTTACTCGCCTTGACTCGCCTCGCTGTGACGTCTTTCTTTTTTTCTTTTTTAGTTTGCGTCGCTGCGCGTCGGTTTCTACTGAAAAAGCGTCGACGCTTATCGGCATTTGCAGACGAACGATTGTGAAGCTATACGCGGCCGGAACGGGAGAAGAAGGGTGTGCCTTGTTTTCGAAACGACGCGAGCGGAAGTTGGGATATTAATTCGGGTGCCCGTACATAACCTCCCCGGGAACGGGAGAAAAGACAAAGAGCCCATAATCTCGTTAGTATATACGAGTTGCGCACGCCAGCGGTTGCAATTCGATTACGCAGAAGGGCGGACAGACAGACGGCTACATTATAAAAAAAATTTATATATATATATATATATAGAGAGAGAGAGAGAGAGAGAGAGACTAGTTGGCACATGGCCCTTCGTAAAAGCTACAGTCGTTATTATCCTTCAATCCATCTGGAGGATTGCCGTAACGAATCCCCTCTCCCCCCCCCCCCCCCCCTTTTTTTTTTTGTTTTTTGTTTTGGTTTGTTATTGTCTTCTTGTTTTTTTCTATGCATATTGTTTTGCATCGTTATATATATTTCTCTGCTAGTCCTTTGAAATTAGGGTTTTATGCGCACGCCTATGCACTTCTTTAAAAAGAAAAAAAAAAAAGATGCGGCGTGTAGAATATTCTTTTGGCGTTGGTTATGAACTTAGGGGAAAATGGACTCTCCATTACCCCCTAGGTCAAGCCACTGGTCGGCGAAAACAAACACATACGAAAATAAAAAAGAGAAATACGGATTTATTAGCATTATTGCGAGAACCCAGTGAACGCTCGCTAACATATTGCTCGCGTTTTTTCGTGCCGCAATCGTGGGAATATACACACCTGTTAATGAACTATAAATGGCGAGGCCTTGTTTTCGTGGTAATATGACCAGGCGTTCAGCTTGCCGTTTTAATGGTTTGTTTTGTGTGTGCGGGTGTCAGCCTGTCAAGCCTGTCAAGCTATATACATGCGGGGCGTCTTTCCGCAAAAAAATGCTTTGCTTGAGAGAATGTGCGCCATGTGATACCGTTAATATGCATCTTCATTACTTAGTTAGCCCGGCTTTTCAACCCGTTATTTAACTGGCGTCCTCTTGCTCGTTAAAATCCTTCGTATTCTCAGCGCACACTGTGAGCACTGGAAGTAATATGGTCAATTACTCCTCGCAAAGGAGATTGGTGTTGTGCTTCCATTATTTACTAGTAAGTCAGGGTCACAAAACAGTTTGTATAATACCGGCCAACTACTATTTCACATCAAGAAACCGCATACACCCATAGCCATTGAAATAAAGGAGAAAAAAAAAAATAAGAGACTATTCTTCAATTTCAAGATTTTTCTCTGTCTTGTTTATTTCTTCAGAAATTTCGAAGACAACAAGATTACGTTTCCTGGCTTCTTTCTTCCGTGATTCAATAAGCCTTTCTTGCGTGCCGTGTGCAAGCTGTTGACGATGTCCTCGTGGGCTTCCACGAACGCGGAAGGTTATTTTCTTCGTTCAAAGCTTCTTCCAGAAACTTTTATCAAGTCGCTGCTCTTCGGTGGTCCCTAATTTTTGTCGCAAACAATTTCTCCACTCAGTATTTTTCTTTTTTTTTAGGAAATCTTGGTTAGTTGTTGGTTCTGTGCCCTGTTCAACGTCAACCGCCGCAATCACAAATGAGTAGATTCCACGTGTGATGTGATTTCACCGTACATCACTTTTGGTTCGCAATGACATTCGTGTAGGGTTCTCTTCCAGGTCTCTAATTTCTGTCGCTGGTACAGTTTGTGTCCTCAACGAGTTTTGGAGGGCATCATGAACAGCCGTTGTCCCCGGACCCTGCTCTATGATACCCGCATTCATAGATATAGGTGCATTCTAGAACATTTCGTTATTTTACTCCCAATAAAACTTGAGATCACGGCAGGGAACAATACATCAAAAGACCCCTCTTCTTAACCTCATCAAGCGACATTACAAAGTAATAGTGTTTTGTGCTGCGGTGTTGTAGACGTTCCTCCTAAACAGGAACAAAAGCTGTTTCTTGTCATTATTGAAACCAGTTTTCGATACAAACTCAAATAAATCGGGAAAAAAAAAAAAAAAAAAAAAAAAACTCGTTCCTGTCTTTTTTTTTTCCTTTTTTTTTTGGGGGGGGGGGGGGGTCGGAGGGGGGGGGGGGGGGGTTGGGGGGAATTGGAGCGTGTCGTTGCCTTAACGTTACTTTTGCGTATTGTAATGTAATATTGTGCCGTATAATCCGTGGATAAAATAAAACAAGGGAAAATATCCTATTTAAATGGGATTGTGTCGAGTCGACACGATCACAATTTGTTTCGGTTCCTTGTTTTCGTCTCTCTCTCTTTCTCAGATACTTGCCCATCCCTTGAAATCGAAGGTAATAATCAATATTATAAAGGCCTAAATGACTACTCAATTCAATTAAAATTGCAAATACATAAAAAAAACTACTTTTTTTTTTGTTACCTCGAAGACGTTACGCGTTCCCGTTCCGTGATGAAACGGCGAGTTCCAGGAACCTCGTTCCTTGGAACGCCGATCCCTACAACGCTGATTTGTGTGTACGTTTATACAGACGGAAGTTAGTCAGCTGCGATGGGCGTCTGTGTGCCTCAGCCGTTGGTGAGCAATTTAGCCAGTGCAGTACAACCGCTAGCCTGGGGTCTTTAACGTGCACCACGCAGTAGGGATACACGACCGCACGCCGGTACGATATCCTCATCCAGATAGAAACAAACGGTTTGGGGGGGGGGGGGGGGGTGAAAATTGAAGCCTGGATCTCTCGTAAGGACGTCTTCATGGCCGCACTTCGTTTCAACTGATACGACCCAGCGAACCGGACGCTATCAGTCCATCCCAGCCAATCCAGGTTCGCGGGAACGTTTATATCACGCGATTGGAGCCGAGGTCACACTGCTTATACATACATCGTATAGACGCACTCAACTCACTGACGTCACGACAGTGCGGTGGTGCTGCTGTCGGTACTGCGCATGCGTAGACGCGTCACTCCTCCCGAGTTTGGTTTCTGGGCACGCGTGCGCAGTGCCACACCTAGTGTGAGCACATCGGGCTTCTTTTCTAAACGCTGAGTTGGTGTATACAAAAAGACACGCGGAGTTTGTTGCAGATGTCGGCGGCGCAGTTGTCCGAAGACATGCCTCAGGCACGTTCGAAATAGCGTGCTTGCCACATGCGTAGGTTTGCTTCGAAAACACGTCTGCAGGCGGTTTTTCGTACGATATCATAGCCTCCTATATGCTGACAAAGCCTGGCAGATCGCCACGAGAAGCGGCCGCCGAAAGTGAAAAGGTGGAGCGGCAGACAACGTATGAGAGGAGATGCCACGTGACTGGCGCCCCGCTGTGGCGAGACGCCGAAACACACTTCTCCCGAGCGAACAAGTGTGTTTCGGGTCCTGGGCGCTGCAAAAGCCGTGCGCTCACGTCCAGGTTCCCCGATGAAATGGAGCTTTGATGCTCTGTTCTCTACCAGATCCTCGCGCTCCGAATCTGCGACGGGGCACTCTATATGGCTCCGTCCTTGAACTGACAGGCTTTGTGAGTATAGAGGAGGCTATGGTACGATGTACGAGCAATGCGCCACTCCCGAAGGTCACGTGACACTGTCATGGCATTGGATTGGCTTGGCTTCTATGACTCGTATAGCGTCCGCGGCGGTTCGTCGTATGCCAGAGAAACGGAGTATGGCTCCTTGGCGCGCAGACAAAGAAAACTTATAAAAGAAAAAAAAAAACAAAGAAAACCAAAAAAGAACGTTACTTTCATCTTGAGTTTTGAGTGGAAATCTAGTTCAAGGAATTTCTGTTTCTTTTTTTCTTTCTTTGATTGGTGTTTTCTTTCGTAAGTGACTAGTTGGTTTAACGACGAGAGAAACGATTTTAGCAGACGGACGGTAACGATAAAAAAAGGTCTTTAATGGTTCGGACGTTCTGCGTTCGTTGCGATGCGTGCACTTTGCGAGTCAGTGAATTTCAGAACAACTCATTATTTTTAAGAGTTTCGCGTGTTCCTGCAGATGTTTTTTTTTTAATATTATTATTTTCCTCGTAATGATCGACTTTCCGTGACTCGCTGACGGGCGTTCGTTAAAGCAAGCGAGCGCAGTCGACTTTTCTTTTTTTTCTTTCTTTTTCCCTGCCCATTAGAAGCTCTCTTGATTTTTTTTTTTAGATTTTTTTTTACTTTGTCAGTTTAGGGAACATCGTCTAGAAATTTGCATGTTTCTCGCGTTCATTATCTAATATTAGGTCGTTTCACGACACATCTTTATATATAAAGTATAGCTTGTTCCGAAATCCCCATCATTATCTTTATCTTTTTTTTTTTCATTCGACGGTTCTTGCCGGCGTTGTGCAAACCATTTGTACGGCCACAAAATCACTTTCGCGGAATAAATGTTATTGTTAGTCAACTCTTTTCATCGGAACTAGTTTGGGAGGCATTGACGATGATTTTCTAATTCGCGAGTTCTTGTTTTAAATTTTGTTTTAGTCTAACTTTTCTGTGGTTGTTGTTTTGTTTGATTGTTCATACTTGAGAACGCCTTCGCGCTTATTTTTTGAATTGTTGTGTCTACGTTGTTAGGGTGCTCAGTGTGATGGCGCTCATGATTTTGAATTTGGTAAATTTCCTTTTTATTTAGTCAACAACGTGTGTGTACCCAAATGGGTTCGCCTCTCCTAATTAAACTTTGTGGGCTACAGTATGTTTTATAACTTAATACTAGTGAAATAAATGAAGTGCGTCTAAGAAATTTAACATAGTTTTTGCAGATTTTACAATGCAGATATCACAAAGTAAATGCAAACAGGTGCGGGGTGCGGGATTGCAGCGGCAGATTTAGCGCCAAGCATGAGAAAAACATGGCTGCCACCAAGTATAAGGTGTTTGGGAGCAAATAATATAGCTTATCTCTGGCGTGTTTTTTTTTTTTGGCGCTTGGGTGACAGACATTCGACGTCCAACCTCACGGCAAGGCCAATAATGAGGTACAAAGCGCGTTCGTCAGGTTTTGTCGCATAGTTTATACGCTGCGATAAGTGGTTTAGACAAAATTTGGCAGCTGCAGAGGAAAAAAAAAAATGATGTATTATTTTTTTTTATTATTTCGTATTTGAAACATGTACGCTTCGACAAAGTAACGAGTAACATATCTTCAATGCACATATACATGCAGGTATCTCAATTCTTCACACAACGGGGGAAATGAAGAACACTTCGCGCGACCGAGCTTTCTTTTCTTTTTTCTTTCTTTTCTTTTTAATACACGTTTTCGGTGAGGAGGTGGAATACTTGTTTCCTTCTCAAGGAAGAAGAAAAAAAAATGCGCATAGTTACTACGCCGTGCGAAGCAGATATAGCTGGATTTCAATGTCTGAGAAAAGAAAGCAAACCAGGCTTTCTAGGTTTAAAACTTACACGTATTGGATAGAAAAAACAAAAAACAAAAAAAAAAAAACTTATCTCGAATTCTCCATAGGGGTATGTTCATTTACTACAGAAGCCACAGTAGTTTCTTGTTTGTACGGCGGTCCTGCCACATTGGTAATATCAGCAACTGTCCGCAGACATGTTGGAAACATTCGTTCGCACAAAGCAAACACGCTTTCGAACATGCGTGACGCCTTCACGCATAATGCTCACACGACACATTCTCTGCTCTCCGGGTTCATGCGAAAGATCGAGACACGTTTTAGTTATTCCGACCGCATATAACGAGTGTCGTTTATTTTTGTACGCGGCTCTGTTCAGAACCGCGACGCCGGAGGGAGAGAAGTGTGCACGACTTCGCGCGAGACAGAAAGTTGGCTCAGGTGCGAAAGGAGGAAAGGATCCCCCGTTTGGGGCGGCCTTCGCCCACTGATCCAGATGAGTCCGTCCTTGACAGCGAGAAGAGTGCCGCATCCTCCGAACCCCGCCCCCCCCCCTCCCGCTACCGAAATCTAGAACACCGGGCTCGCTCGCTCGGAGATGCTGCTGCTGGCTCGACGAAGCGTGACTCATAGACAGACGCTGGGGTCTCCTTTCATGCACGCCGCCGCCGTTGCTGCCGATATGCAACTCCGTGGGGGCGCCCGGAAAAACGACGCGTGCTTTGCCGCCTCTCTACGTGTGCGTGCTTTGCCGCGCTTGGAACTGCTTGGGCGGTGACGACTCCCCGTAAATACTGTCTCGGCCTCATTCGCGTCGCGTCGCAAAACATTTTTTTTTTCTATAATGCGAAACGTTTTTTTTGGGTTAAGTGTTCGGCATTTTGTGAAGTCCAAATGTGAAGCCTGGATAAAAGCGTGGCCGCGAGGCTCGACACTGATTGGTTGTAGGGTGGGACAGGAGCAGTGAGATGCTCGACGCTGATTGGTTAACGGCGAAGTCATGTGACTAGAGGGGTAGGAGAGGAGGAACTCGACCACCTGTGCGCATTAAGGGAGAGGAGCTCGTGAGTACGGAATGCTGCGGAAGATCGCCAGGTTTATCGGCCCGATGAGCGGTAGTATCGCTTCATTCGAGGAACAACTATCGAGTACGCACATGGTACGCGTTAAACTATCCGATGAAGTGCGCCGTGAACGTAGGCGTTTGGAAAATATCGCAAAACGTGTGTGATGCCAGAACGTTGCAGCTGCCTAGCAATTTGAGTTTTTTTTACTTCGTTTTTTTCTTGTGGTGGGGATTAAAATACTCCCCTTTCCTCCTTGCCTTTACACCCCTTTCGAGGCCCCTTCTTGTTTCGCACTTTCCTACATTTTAGAGTTATAAGACGTCTGCTGGGCTGTGGAACGTCTTCTGAGCATGCGCTGTTACTCTGTTGTGCGGAATATCATACATTGGGAACGCGTCCACAGCGCGGTGACTCGGCATTTTTCGACCGGGTGATCAACGATGCAAAGGTCTACAGACCAACTCAACTCTCTAACGTGCACGGCACTGCGCATGCGCAGAACGCTTCACTCATCCCGAATTTGGTTTTGCAAACTCGGGCTTGTTTGTTTGTAAACGGTATGTTGGTGTATAGATAGTTTCACTTTTGAAATGAGCGTGTGCGCCGGCTCGAGCTACCTGTGTGTGTGTACCCACCCACCGGTGTGACGTGTTGTCTGCTTCGTTTCCCTTTTCATGGTCCTCCCGAGCAGCTGGCGACGAAAGGCGAGGCCCACTGCATGCGACACGCCAGCAAGCCGGCCAACGATGCCAAGAACACGTACAAGAAACTGCTGCCCTGTGAGTGATCGGAGGCCGGGGTTCACTGGCGGCTGACAAGTTTCTTCAGGGAACAGGGTCATTAGAGAGTTTTAGTAGATCGTTCCCATGACTCCGATAACGATACCCCATACTCCGCCACCGCCTCCCTTGAGCATGCATAATATCGTTATCGGGGCTATCGGAGGTATCGGAACGATCTACTAAAACTCTCTATTATAGTGCTGGGGAGAGACCACTCCAGGTTTCTTTCAAATCTCGAATCATTGCCAAAAGGAGGGTGTAACGTCGAGGTCTGGGTCAAGACAACGGTTCATTCTGCTTCTGGGTTACGGCAAAAGTAACTGTTCGGGGTTCCAATTTTAGAACGTAGTATTTTTGCTCCTTGGGGGAAAGAACGGGTGCGTTGTTATAAGAGTGAAAGTTATAAACTTGTCGATTTTATAGCCCTGGGGGAATGGGCAGTTGAATCTTTTGTTCTCCTCGCCGGTCCCCTGGGTTCGTGCATTCGTGCAACCGCGGGGTGGGGTGTTGGAATGGTATCGGATGAAAACGAGTTTCCCAGCTACTATGCCCGCGAGTTTATAGATTTTAAAGCATCGGCGTTCATCGAAGCGCCGTATGTTTGCAAGTTTTTTCATGGCACAGTTAGTATCAACAATGACAAGGGCGCTAACGCTAAATCAGCTGAACCAAAATCATTTTATACTGGACTGTTCTCACGAATTTAGAACGGGACTTTGAAAGATTGAGAACAGGCCTAAATTAAACTCTGAATACCGGATAATTGAGAACCCAACAAAAATAAAATCCCACCATATTCCATTTCTTCTTTCTAAAAAAACAAAAAAAAAGAAAAACTTTGACAAGCATTTTTGAATTTCAGGAAAAATAGACTCGGAAAGCACGGAACCCCATGCTATAATCATGCATGGGATTAAGTATTGAAGAAGCAAGCGTTTCAGTTTCAGCAGGAAACTTTAAACAGCCGTTTAGAGAATTGAAGAACGCATTGCATAATAGTTTCCCCGCTACATGTAAGTTAGAAAATTGACGTCCCATGACGTCAGGTGACGTGACGTCACGGCAGCACTTGGTACTACAATTTAACACACTGACATGACGTCACGTGACCGCGTCGTGTGACGTCAGGTTACGCGACGTTATTTTCTTCTCTAAATCTAGCGGGAAGTTTACGTCGCCCGACGTGACGTCACGGTTTCAAGTCGTGTATCACGTGACATCAATCACCCGTCTAAAATCACCGGGGAAGTTCACGGACGGTAAAATTTCGGGGATTAGGGGGTCCTGTCACGAAGCGTTTCGTGCTTTAAATATTAAAACGTTACGGCCGCCCAAGTTGTCGAAGGTGGTCGAGAGATGGCGCTGCCGGACACCGGCGTCTCACCGGCGCCTGCCTCCCCCTGTGTATTCTGTCTCTTGTTCGCGTGGCCTGTCCGCCGCGTGTGTGTATATACACCAGAAAGCGAGTGCGGGAAAACTCGCGGCGGCCGCTTCAATCGATGACTGCTCTGCTAAGCCGGCCAGCCAGCGCTGGGCGACATCTCCAGCTCTCGCATTTGGCAGTCTGCCAACACTGAGCGAGCCCGAATACTTCTCTCCTCCCGGGATGGCCCCGGCGTTTTGCGGGCCACTTCGCTTATTTTATTGTCGCTTGTTCATCCAACTGCTTTTGCATCTTTTCTTTTTTTTCCCCTACCGTGTTCCGTGGGCGGGACCGTCTAGATTTCTTGAATGGGTCGCTTTCCGTACCGGCGGCTGGTGGGGTGGGTTGTGGTTGTGTTTGGCTGGCAGAGGGTGCATGCGTGCATGCTTGCGTTGGTGTGTGTTCCTCTCTATGTTTATTTGTTCCTATGTGTGTGTGTGCTCCTGTCTGTCTGTGTCTACACGTGTGTGTGTGTGTGTGTGATGGATAGGAATTCTCCTTCGATTCTGAACGTACGTAAACCCTGCCTTCAAAATATTTACGAAAGCTGGCAAAAAAAAAAAAACAATAAAAAGATAGAAACATCAGTGGCCTACCGGAACAAGAATGAGAACGGAACAAAAAGAGTTGGAGGAAAAACGGTTTATATTATGTGGGTTGAGGCGATCCCAGACGGAAACGAGCGCCTGCTAGAGGCGGATCATTCTTAGCCTGTCACTAACTTTAGTTCCGAATTGACTATATCTGACAATATAAGCACGCTGGCAAGCAAAACAGTCGATCGCCTCGAAGTTAATTCATTGTAATAATATAAATAATATAATAATTTATATAATTATAATAATATAAAAAAAATGTAATGAACGGCATACATGAAAGGATAAAGGAGTGAAGTGTTCGAGGGTATGAACGAAGAAGGCGGTGGATAAATAAGGTAACTTCTACGAATCGAAATGAGACTCGAATGAAAGCAGAAAACAGGAAACGTAGGAACCGGGCTCACGTGATTGCACTCGTTTTGATTGGCAGACGACTACAACCGAGTGGTCCTGGACACCCTTCCCGACATTCCCGACTCGGACTACGTGAACGCAACCCACATCGACGTGAGTAGACCTCTCGCTCTTGTTTCCATCCTGCTCGCCCGATTTCTTCTTTTCCTCGGTTCGCGACGTTTCACTCTCTTCCCCTTTCTCTCTCTCTCTCTCTCTCGCTCTCTCTCTTGTGTATCGGTGCTCTACGAGTGGAAGTTCTTCCAGTAAGACTCTGCGCATGCGTACAATTTCTCCTCTGCTTCCCGCTGTCGCCATTTTTGGTGGGCAACGTCCAGCACGATCAACATTGTCAGCACCTATCTTCGCGCGGAAGTCGTCGTTTCTAACGATTGTTTTGTTTTAGCAGCAATGAAAACCGATAGAACGGCACAATGCCAATTGGCTTCCGACTGTCCGAGGCACGTTGGGCAGCCCTCCATTTGTAGTTCGCAGACAGCCTCCCAGACGGCGCTCGTTACTCGAGAAAGGTGAAAATGAAAGGTTTTCAGCTATTTATACATGAGGAGTATAGACACAAAGTGGAGGCAGCGCACTAGAAAATTAAGAGGAAAGTTTTTAGGCTATAGTAGAGATACGGAAGAGCAGGTATCAGTTAAGAAGAAAGTTAAAGCCACAGAAAGAGATCGGTGGCTAGAGGGAATGCGGACAAAGACGGCTTTGGAAAGCTATAGATTAAACAAAACAGTTATTGCCAAAGAAAGCATTTATGACAATTCTAGGGGAAGCTCAGTGTTGTTTGAGGCAAGGACAGGTGTTCTGCGAACCAGAATATACAGAGTGAAGTACCAGGAAATTGATAAGTGTGCACTGCTTGTGGAGAGGAGGACGAGACGGCTGAGCACTTGATACTCTACTGTAAACGGCTTCACCCTATGCCTACCGAAGACAACATAGATTTAATAAAGTCATTGGGTTTTAGAGACAGCGAAGGAAGAGTGGATTTCAAGACAGTAGAGATTACCAAGCAAAGATTAAGTGAATGGTGGCGGAAAGCGAGAGAAAGCTAGGTATCTTCTTATTAACTGATGGCAAGGGGGTTTTATAGCCTCACTTTCTTTGCAGTGCGGAGTGAATGTAGATTTCACATGTAAATATTCTAAGCTTAAATGGTAAAACAAAATGGCTAGGTAGCGTAAGCTACCGCCCGATCAAAAGAGCTCAGCCGGTTCATCCATGCATCCATCCAGGTTAATTCCGCTACAAGTCCCTTCAGCATGATCGCGTTTACACCCACCGCTCCTAATTTTGATTTCCCAGAACTAATTACCTAAGAATAAAAAAAAAAAATTAAAAAGATCAACTTTCTATTGTTTGGAATAAACGGAAAACATCGTTTACTTATAAGGCTCTAATTTAGCCCGACGTAGCGCGGGAGGGCGCAAGCGCACGCCACGCTATCGCAAAAGCACACTAGAAACCACTACTTCCTTTGTTCCCCTCTTCTCTGATGCTTTCTTTTTGTGATGTTTGAAAGAAAACGCGTTCTCTCATTTCCAGAGTATTCTAAAGCCAAACGCCTACATCGCAGCCCAAGGTGAGCGGCACTTTCCCTTCTTCTCCCTCGGTTTCCTGGTTTCTTCATTTGCTCTTTTCGCGAGCCCCGAGTATGGAATTGAAAGTCGAAAAGGGGGAAAGAGTTTACTCTTTGCAAAAAAAAAAAAAATTCGAGATGTTCCGCGCGTAGAAGAAGAGCTACGCAAAATTCCGAAGAGACACCATAATACAGAGACGATCCCAGAATATTTATAAGAGTTTTGAGCTTGTGGTTTGAGAATTCTCACTTTCACGAAAGTTTTGAAATTCTGTGCCTCCAAAACCGTCCCTAAAAGTCATCTAAATCGTTTCTAAAAGTTCTTGTAATAGTGGAAACATATTTTTTTTTAAACATGACCCCCCCCCCCCCCCCCCCTCTCACATGTAGTTGTCGAAACAAAAATTCGCTTCCCTCGATGACGTTTTGGTAATTTGTGTTACAAAACCTAGCGAGTAAAACAACACCAACAAAAGCCACTGATACCTGCTTTGTGCCTTCAAAATGTGAGGAGATTGTTGGAACCGTTAACGAAATACTTGTAGTTTCGCGGTTATTCTTAGATGTTGCACCACATACTTTATTAGATGAAACCGTTTTCGTCCCCGCAGTGACAGATATAGCCAAGTAATCAGCACGTAATCGTGCTTGCGAACAAGGCCTGTCTACCAATAGGAGGTATTCACTGGACGCCTTGTTTGAAGGCGATGTTTAGAGTGCATGCTCAGAACGAGCTCACATTAATAGCCTTGTAAGACAGGCAACCTTGATGGTGCTAAATGCACGCTCCAAAAGGACTGCGGAAGCTCGCCGTCAGCACGCGCTCAGCAGCAGCGCACACGGATATATGGCCGCCAGTTCTACAGCTTACGGCGCTAGGATCAAGGGTCTTTGTGCTGTTGAACTTATACCGTTGTGATTCAGTACGCATCATTCCCTCCGTCTCCACTGCTTGACCGCGTTTTCACGGCAGTTTACGTCCATTGAGTGTTATTACTGTTGACGCGTTTAATTGATTTATAATACTTGCAATGTGGTCCCACGGTCCACGCGCCCTTTCGGGCACGTAGCTTCATCGGCAACTCTGAGAAGATACCAACCCCAAATTACGTCGCTTCTTCTGAGACAAAGATTCACCCCCAGCGTCACGTTAAAATAACCACGATCTTTTTTAACCAGCTTCCTTTTATCGGCAACGCGAGATCCGCTTGTTCACCCTTCAGATTACAGGCTGGTGAGAGATAATCGCTCGCCAGACGAGTCAACCACCTTGCAGCCATCACATAACCCCGCTCTCTGCTAGCGTAGCGCAAGGAGTGCTGGGAAATCGATGGATTAACCGGCCACTTAATCAATTAATGTTGTATTCGCGAATAATTGTTTTAACCGGTTAATCGACAAAATGTTGACGAACCAAAAGAACGCAAACATTTAAGGCTTCCACCATTTAAGGCTTCCACCAGTACACAACTGTATAGGTCGAGATTTGCAACTTCTGATAAATGCAGAAGGTTACACGAGTCCGGGCCACTTCAATGCCGTCCGAGTGTCCCTTTAGCGCAGCATAGATTGTAAACACTATTCGCCTCGAGATCGAACCGTGCCGCCACCGTGCGGCCGAAATTGGAAACGCGCGAAAGCGGGGATACCGCCGTGCGTCGTCTGCTACGGGCGCACGCCCAGAAGCATGGATCTCGACGAGGCAAGCCCGTTTCAGGCTGAGCTTGACATTCCTTATTAAATGTTGTATGCTTTTATTGCCGTTTCTTCTTACTAAAGGTTGTGCTGTATCGTTTGCCATGCGTAGAAATTCAGCAAAGCGATTATTATTAAGTCGGAAGCTACAATCGCTGGTCCCACGTTCTTTTTTTTTTATCGCACAAACCGCGGCTTTCATAAAGCATTGAATGTTGTGTGGGCCTGTGGTTTTATTAGAAAATTACCCCGACTGATTGCTATCCTTCAATAGACTAATCAATCAATAAATCCGTATGTTGATTTTGCCCCGGTCATATTGCGTGAAAGACGTTAAAACTACACATTTTTTTACTGGTTTTACTATGTCATAAATGGCATGGTGCATTCCCATTATAAACTTCACGTTGTGAGTCCTCCATAATTATGAACACGGGAAGCTTTTTAAAATGAAGTATTTCTTAAGTTCTTATTTAAACAGTATAATCACCCTCGGCGAAATGATAAACGGTAAACCACGCTGAAGTGGTTTACCCTGCGAGCCAGTGTCACAAAAGAAGTATAAAGACGTCAAAAATATTAAAGCAGGCATATTTTACTCCTTGTTGACTTTCTTTAGCACAACACTCCAATTAACCGGCAAAAAAAAAATTTTTAATTAAAGCATTACTCGAATAATCTGAAAGTTAATCGATGAACTGCCCAGTCCCGATATACGTTAGGTGAAGGCGGAGGGTGATCGGAAAGTCTCGTGAAGCCCTCATCAGTAAAAGAGTATCACTGCGGCCGATGCTGTCTGTGCGTAGTGCGCGTCGTTTGTTGGTGTTGTACAGTCTACTTTGTTTGAATACAAGATCATTTAGCCAGAGATTTATAGTATTAGCTTCTTGGCATCCGCGGGGCTCGTCAAGAAAATTGAAGCGGGTGAACCCACACTACCAAGAAAAGTATTTAATAATAGGAACATTGCTGCGTTGCTCGGTTACACTCGTTTATTACAGTCACGGCAGATATAGTAGAGTTTGTTTCACGTGTTTCTGTTGTCCTGCCAACCGTGCAATTTGCAGATTTTAACAAGAAGAGACACTCTCTCCTCATCGCAAAGCAGTAGATTTGTTCAGACTCCAAAACAGTTACCCACACTACACTCTAAAAAAAAGCCCGTGCGTCTGCTTTCCCGCACAACACTCGTAGAGCCAATCACCGGAACTTACGGAGGCAGCTCAGCGAATGACGATGCCGAAACATCTGTTTAGACCAAAAAACGCAGTCTGAGTTGTGACATTAAGCAATGCAAAACGTCACGCTTGCATTGCTTAATGCCACAACTCAGACTGCGTTTTTTAATCTAAACATATGTTTCGGCATCGTCTTTCGCTGATCTGCCTTCGTAAGTTGCGGCGATTGGCTCTACGAGTGTTGTGCGGGAGAGCAGACGCACGGGCTTTTTATAGAGTGTATGGCACAGTGAAAGGGCAGAGGAGCTCAATAGCATGGTAATTTCCAACACATCGCTAACTTATCTTCATTCTAAATATTTATATTACTGAAAAACCAAGACGTTAAAAAAAGCATAGAAACTGCGATTTCACAGCCCACAGTACCAGTATTATGTTACCTGGGTTGGAATTTATTATTATTTTTTTATTTCACACGTTGATGAACTGATACATTCATTTTAAAAGTAACAAATATTTAACATAAATATTCCTGTTCAGCCGGAGACAGGCATCAGTCGTGGTGATCCACGCTTTCCAACGTCTGCCTAGAGCAGACGACACACCCACAGAAGCGATTATATAAATTTGGGCCGCACGCTGGCAACACGATTCGATCTTTACTGAAGCACCGAACTTTACTGCATCCTTTTCCGCTAGAATTGTTTTCCCACCGACAGTATGCGACAAAATAAACGCAAGAATCTACGTCGTCTCGCGCGCGACCGTGGAGAGCCTATGGGGCGGCCGTTCTCCTATCCCCGCTTTGATGGTGATGATAGCGCGACCGTAGCGCCACCTCTAGGTCGATCTCGAGGCCAATAGGAGGTCATTCTCGCCGGAGAATATCAACGAACGAACCTCTTTTGCTTTGTGCAGATGTGAAGTAATAATCTGCGAGTGTGAGTGCCCGAACTGTTCTCAACTACGCATCGAGGTTGATTCGAGATCAAAATTGTATATTGCGCCATTTGTCACATATTTTCGAAGAAGCGAGGTCACCTAGTGAAACGTCGGCACGCCGTCCTGAGGTTTACCAAGCGGAAATTCCCTCTTGACGTTCTTCTGCCAGCTTCGCTCCCCTCGGTGTCCTGTTTGGAGTTTGGACATATTGTATTCAGCAAGGGCGACGTCGGTCGTTCGCCGCATGATTACTCTTCACTGGGTCGTGATCACGCGGAGAAAGACCGACGCATACGACTGGTTCAAGAAACGCGCGGCGCCTTCCACACTGTCAGCGTGTGAATCGGACCACCTGCATCCCGTGATCGCGTGCTTCGGGGATCGGTAATGCGGGGTCACTGTTCTGCGATCCCCCTCGAAACTCGGAGCTTCGCGTCACGAAGGCCAGTGTTACATAACCATGTCCGGTGCTATACTCGGTAGAACCCAACCTCATGGGGCGATGTTTCACGTTACGGTATAGACCTTCGCAAAAATCGCCTTCTGCACGCCGCCATCTTTGTCTGCTGGGGTGTTTAACTTCTGAGCATGCGCTGTTCTCTGCTGTGCGGTAGATCAGACTCTGCGCGTGCGTCCGCAGCTCAGTGACTCAGCATTTTTCACCCGGGGTGATAAGCGATGCAAAGGTCTATAGCCGCCGACAGGGTGAGAACGTCAGGGAGGAATTTCAGTTGTCCTGCCCTAGCGCGCGCTTCCTACCTTTGATAGTGCTTCGGCGTGCTTCGCCTTCTAGTGAACTAACTTCTTGAACGTGCGTCCGCAGCGACGCAGGACGGAGGGCAACGCACGGCGGAGGGCAGCCAGCGCGTTCTCGAGTCAGAGCGTACAAGAGAGTCGCACCGCCCTTCTTATTCTGTCAGCGAATGTGGCTCGTAACACGTTAGTTTTGGTGCCTCGAACTTTACTGCTGTAAAAGGCTGTCCACGCTAAACATGACTTTTTTTCTTTTTCTTTTTGCGGTGTTTTATTTATCAAACTTCGTTAGAACGGCACACCTTCGCGGACTCGTGGCAGAAGTCCGTACATTCTGAGGATCTTCCGTAATTTCGGAATTTCCGAAATTCTGCTTGACATTCCCAAGACGGACGGAGGTCTTGGGAATTCCGTGAACTCCGAGGACACGAGGCTGTGCTTCGTCTGCCAACGCGCAGTTTAAATGACTCCTGACCACGCGATACGGAAGCCCATTTAGTTAAACTATGCTTGTACCGGGACGGTGCAGGGGACGAATTATTAACTTTCTTCGTAAGCGTGCGGTCAATGTGAACATCAACAAACATTTTTTTTTACGTTTTTTTTTTTTTTTAAGTTTTTGATTTTTTCAAGCCAAACTTTGAAGTGTCTGGGGTCCTTATTTATACATAGCAGTTTAGACTTCAAATTTTGATTTCTGCTGCAAACTGCGAGAGAACTAGCGCAGCGTTCCGGAGTGTGAACCCAGAAATCCAAGCCTATCGTGTATACTGTCTATAGAAACCTCGTCTAACGAACGTAAGTATACCGAACCGCTGTAGGCCACCATACCTTGTATCGAAACTCTGTATACAGAAACGAAAACTTCGCATACCCGGTACCTGGGTAACCGTGCTACATAATGGGGTTTCCCTTGTAGGTAACGATACTAAACCTCGGCATTCACTCTGTACGTCGCAGGTCCCAACGAGGACACCATCAGCGACTTCTGGCGGATGGTATGGGAAAAGAAGTGCTACGTCGTCGTCATGCTCACCAAGGTGTTCGATTTCATACGGGTAAGGACGTCCCATTGATTTCTATATAACACCTGGCATTAGAGTCGTCCGGAAGATCTGGTTACGCACACATATAGTTCATTACCCTTACTTACGCTCTCTTTTTACTTGTCCCGGAATCGTCAGGCCTTCAACGTAGGCCAGGTCCTACTCTATCGCTTTTTTTGTTCTCTGCTATTTTAGGAACTTGCCATATTTTTGCCGTGTAGTAGAAAGCTTTCTATTCTAGTATCTTGACTGGCACGATTACGTAGCCACAATAAATGAATGAAGCCATAATAAATGTCTCAACGTCGGTGCCTTCTGCTGTAGTCACTGTCGGGGCAAGAAGGACGGAGAGGTCTTTCAGTGTTTCTGTATTCACTGCCATTCTTAGCGTCTTGGCTTCTAATGGAGGTTCAGACCTGAGACGACATTAAAGGGCGTGATGTGGTCATTGAAGCAAGGGGCCACGAGCATAATGTGGAAAATGAAAAATACCTTTATTTCTGCACCTGTCAGTGACTCAACAGCTAAAAAAGTTTAATCGTCTGTTTTCTTTCATCGTCTTATTTTTCGCGATGATGGGGACCACTATCCTTGGTAGAATTTGCGCTGGCAATCATTGGCGATCTGAATTTGCTTTGGTGACAAAGGAGAAGAACATGCACCTGGGTCCTAATGAACCAGTCTTGAGCATTCGTACATCGTGGGAGCAAATAAACATGAAAAGATTCGCGGACCAACATAACTACATCTACAACTGTCCGTGTGCCAGGTGATGTGCTGCCAGTACTGGCCCATGGAGCTGGACAAGCCGGAGAAGTACGGTCTAATCGAGGTCACGCTCTTGTCCGAGGATACCATGGCCAACTTCGTGATTCGGACGCTCCGGTTACGCAGGGTGAGCACCTCTTTCCCCATTCACATGGTGGTGATGACCATCATAATGATTACACATAATGATGACCGTGATGATGAACACTATTACACATGATGATGACCTGATGATGATGACTGATATTACGCATTATCAGGACCTGATGATGATAATTAAGATCATTATCACAAGCGATGAGGTCCTGATGATGACCACCATTATTACATGATGAGCACCTGCCGATGATGATTACTACACCTGATGATGGCCGGGTGATGACCATTATTACACATGCACAGGACCTGATGGTGACGGCCGTTTAGGACATATCTTGCACACCTGTAAGAACGTCACTTTCGAGATGGTCATTGATCACGGCAAGAAAGCCACCAAGACTACCTTCAGTTCATCATCTGTAACTAATAATTGTGTGGACTGGCGTTCTTATAGGGTGCGCGGTAGGTTCTGCTCGTCGACTGCCACGATTCTACGGATAAAGATGAGATGTAGGTGCCCATGGAGCAGCGAGACTGGTTATCACCCAGTGTGATCTCAACGTTCCAGGGTGAGGAGGAGCGCGATGTGTTCCAGCTGCACTTCACCAGCTGGGCCTCACACACGGAGCCTTTCACCAACGCCCTGCTGGACTTCCGGCGAAGGGTGCGGACCTTTACCGACCGGTGGTCGGCCATAGGACCCACCGTCGTTCACTGCAGGTTAGCGCCTCTTCGTGGACATACTGTCGCGGACACACACACACACAAAAAATTTAAAAACTCCACTCGGGGTGGCAAAAAAAAAAAAAAAAATCCTTTGTCTTCCCAACGACCACATACGCACACAAATACATGTCTCCTCTCAGCTCCAATAACGAGTGACGAAAGGCGTTCGTGTGTACTTGTTTATATCGTCCGCTGCTATACAGCGCCTTCGCTGCTCCAATCTTGGGCACATCTGTAATTTAACCCCATGTTGCCGTAAAAAGATAAAGTATTTTACCGTGCTTAGTCAACACCACCTAGACAGAAGGCCTCCACACGCGTCATCATAGTCAGATAGATCGAGGCGAGAGATTGGCCACGAGTGCTGCGTCAGTGTTCGGCTGCGGCTCGTGGCCAATCAGCGCGTCGAAGGTCGGGCTCGGGTCCAGTAGCCGACCGAGCGCGATCCGACTGTGATGACGTTTCATAGAAGAAGAGGAAACCATGCGGAGGCCTTCTGTCTAGGTGGTGTTGGCTTAGTGCCACAGCGCTAACTGTTTTTCCAGCTTCTAAACATATTGTCAGTCTTCTCGTTTGCCAATATCCTTCCACAGATTGCAGGGATTGGCTCTCCCGAGTGCTTTGTGGGAAAGTGAACGCTCCAGATTTCTTAGGGTGTGTTTAATAGACCCCGTAGGATTGACGTCACTCTCTTCCTGCAGCGACGGTTGCGGCAGAACGGGAACCTACATGTGCATCGACGCCAATCTGGAGCTGGCGGACGAAGACGGCGTCTACGACGTGTTCGGCTACACCAAGAAGCTCCGGGCGGCGCGCAAGGGCATGGTCGAAACTGTGGTAAGCCGCGGTCACAGACTCTGCCCCGCTGACCTCTTGTTAGTCTTGTATGACGTCTGGAAAGCGTTTGAGCCGCGGGGCCCTTCGTCTCGCCAGTAGCGAATTCGTGGAATAACCGGGCCGCGTACATTATATTGCGAAGTACAGGGTGTCAAAAAAAAAAATTATAGGGTGTTTTTTTTTTTCACCGCAAAGATAAACTAGGCATCACCGAACGCTCATTCTCCGCCCAAGGGTAGCGCTGGAGGTTACAACCAGATGCCAAAGTTTCAGCCCGATCGGATACCTTATTCAAAAGTTATAAGTGATTTTCTGAAAATTTCAATGGGAAGATAGAGCCCATTTTTGCCCGTTTTCGATTTCTGGTGTCCATAGAGCCCCATGTGTTCAAAAACTCCGTCGGCCGCCATCTTTCCATTGAAATTTTCAGAAAATCACTTATAACTTTTGATTAAGTTATCGAATCGGGCTGAAACTTTGGCATCTGGTTCGACCCTTTAGCGCTACTTTTGGGCGAAATATGAGCGTTGGGCGATGCCTAGTTTATTTTTGCGGTGAAAAACACCGTGTAAATTTCTTTTTGTGACACCCTGTATATATACTGTCAAAGGCACAGTCTGGAACTGGTAACCTGGCGGCTCATTCCATGTAATAAGGCTGGCATACCAAGAGTCAGCGCTCGCACATTCGACGTCTCATTTATACCTCGAACATCACGTGACTGGTACCACATTTCCGTTTCGGTTGCTATAGAACTGGTGATGCCGTACCCTTTTAAACAAACTCGTACTAACAGCACGCTTAGTTGATTCGATCGCTTGTGTATTCTCTCCCCATTATAGTCTATCTCGTACCTTGAGGGTAAGTAAAAATTAAAAAAAAAGGTCAGCGATGACTCTTATTCCATAAGGCTTTATTAGGGTTTAGCTGTGCCGCCAACCTGTCGATGGTGGACAGCAGGCTCACGTGCAGTCTGGTCATACAGGTATACAGAGCTGTTGCTGAGCGACGTATACATTTATGGCCGTCTCTAGAGCCACTAAGCTCGCTATGATTAGAGGACTGGCTCTCCATTTCCGGATTTTCTTGTGGGCGCCGCCATTTTGGTGCCTAGTGGAGAGCGGGCGCCGTTTTCGATCTTTATATACGATTCGAAAATTAGGCTTCCTGAGCTCTAAATGCGGTGTTAAGAAGCTCGGGGGATATCGCTTTTCCTCTGTCGCGAACTGTATTAACGTTACCGGAGGCCGGTAAACCGTTTCCCGCGATTCAAGACAAAACATTGGATGACCGACAACATTCTTATTAAGTACCAAAATGACTCAAGGGGCGTTACTACGAAGCCTAACTTGTTTAGTGGCTCTATTCTCGTATTCACTGCAAAAACCGAAGTAAAAAAATAAATAAATAAGTCCGCCTTTTTGCGGAGCAATACTGATTTACTCCTTTAGATGGGAAATTAAGATGCATATGGATGAATTTCAGATTAGCTTACCGTTATTTTATCGATAGGTGCACATTTCAAACGCCAAAAGCATAGTTTCTTCCTCCGACAACCAGGTCTCGTAAGAACTACTTCATGCAGTGCACAAGTAAATGCGCAAAACATCCTTTTTTTTTTCTTGATTCGACAACGAGTATAGTTGTAATCTATGGACTATATTCAAAAGTTCATCGAGCAACACTGGCGGTCGCCACAATTTGGGCACCGCTTTCTGAGCGACGAGTGCGACGCGTGTGACTGGTTCCGAGTTTGGACTGGAGCTCGCAGCGCGTGGAGCGAAAGCTCGCGCCACAGATCACAGGTACTAGAGCCACTAAATGAGCTGCGCTTAGAGTATCGGCACTCCGCTCCCTGACATTGCTGTGGGCGCCGCCATTTTGGGGCTTGTGCAGAGAAGACGCAACGGCCGATCGTCATGATTCAAAGGTGCGACTTTCTCAGCATTAGATTCGGTGTTAGAAAGCTCATGAAATATTGATTCTCTTTCTAGCGAACTATTTAACCATTTATTGAGGGTGGAAAGACGTTTTTTGTAGTTTCAGATAAAGCTTCAGATAACTGGCAACCATGATATTAAACCAGAATATGGCCAAGTGCCGTTACTCTGAAGCGTAGCTTATTTAGTGGCACTAACAGGAACCAGAGCTTCAATCCCCCACCGTTGCCAGTTTCGATCTGGATGAGCATCGTACCGGCGTGGCGACCGTACATCAATAACGCGTGACGCAATGTTAAAGACCCCAGGGTGGTAGTAGTACTGCGCTCGCTAAATTTCTCATGTGCTGTACAGACACTGTCTACACATGCACACGAATCAAGTATAATTTTGTTCGAGCTCTAGCCGAGCGCTAACGCAGCCCTTGTGTCGAATACGTTTGCACCCAAGTATACGCGCCGAACGCTGACTTGGGTGCAAACCCGTGGTGCAAACTGACCAATACATGCACAAAGTGTGTGCTCAAAATATGGCGGACTCGGAGCTGCTACTCGGAGAGCAAGTCGTCTGCTTCTTCCTCAAGGGTTGCGGTGATGTCAGAACTATGCTGACTTCTGATCGACTTTGATTAGAAGGGTAGTGGGTAGACCTCACTGCTAGATGCTTTGGAGTCTACCCATTATATTTTTTCAATCAGCCAATAAGAGCTCGACGTTCCGACATCATCGAAACCCCAAGAAGCAGACGACGCTTGCGCTCCGCATAATGGAGGACGCAAACTTGCGAAAAGGGTCTATTGGCGTCCCCGCGGAGCGCTCTGGGTATCACCAACGACGAGATATCTTTCTGTAGCGCCGGTTGGGTGAGGTGTTGACCGACACGGTTGGCCAACTCGGAGGTGTGGTGCCTTGGTGTCGTTTTCGTGGTCGCAGGAAGCGTACAAGTTCGTCTACGAGACGCTCAACGAGGCGTACGTGTGTGGGAAGACGTGGTTCCCGGTGTCGGAGTTGTCGGAGCAGCTCAAGTTCAAGTCGACCAAGAATCCGGTCACCCGAGTGAACGAGTATCAGAGGGAGTACGAGGTGGGCTGCTTCTTGTACGTGACATCTTTCGTTCAGCAACGACGTCCTGTTCACCTTTCCGTTAAAAAAAAGTATGATGACCAAGTTTTTGAAGTTTAATAACTTCTTGGAAAAACATGTTCTGACTTATAATTTGGGTTACTTTCAAATCCAGACGCAGCCGACACTACGAGGTAATGGGATTAATCGAGCAGCGTCAAGGGCGCGAGTTACTAGGTGTTGTTTCTTTATGATTGGTTCAGCAAAAAACCAATCATAAATGTATGATTGGTTCAGCAATGAACCAATCATAAATGTATGATTGGTTCAGCAACATAAACATGAACGCCATGATGCTGGGCGTTTGGCCTGTCCGATTAGTCCTATCCGCACGTAGCTTCGGCTGCTGCGTCTAGACCTAAGGGAAAACGAAGCATGAGGAGCGAAGTTCGTCTGCTTCTTGTACAGGGATTGCGATGATGTCAGTACGCCGAGCTCTTATTGGCTGATTGAAAAAAAAAGAATAGTGGGTAGACCTCAAGGCATTTAGCAACGAGGTCTACCCTCTATCCTTTCAATCAAAGCCAATCAGAGCTCGGCATCGCTCTGACGTCACATCAACTCGTGCACAAGAAGCAGACGACTTGCTCTCCGTATAGTCCAGCCGTGTCTGGTGATGTACTGAACCGATTTCGACGCAAATTAACGATGATCGAAGTTTCGTCAAATAAACGCCGTTATGATGAGAAACAAAATTATTCGGCTCCTAGAGCCGTTTGTGGAATTGATTGGCTGGAGGCGTGATATGAATCCCTTTGAGGAGCATGCGTCACCGACCTCTTCTCCTGTCCGTAGCTTAAATGAAGCGGTCAAGGCGATAAACGTTTTACGTACTCGTGTGACGTGTGTAATCATTGCAGAAAATCTGCAAGATGTCCTCCAAGCTGTCGATCGGCGACTGCGCCGGGGGACACCGACCAGAGAACAGGGATAAGAATCGGGACGTGGCCACCGTGCCCCGTAAGTCTACGCACTCATTGTTATGCGCACAATATAGGAATGATGACGCAGCGTTTTTAGGCCTGCGTTCAGTAGTCGACGCCGGTCCCGGGCGCGTATTGGTATACGGTGTCATGGAACGCGTCTCCGACGGGTGTGTTTAGCGTCCTATATCCACCCACGCATCAAAAGCCGTCCCCAAGTGGCAACAAATGACGTCACAAAACCCGGAGTGTCATGCTGTCGGATGTCACGATCCTGGTGGTTGGTCGTAGAAGTTCCAGCGAAAAGCACGAGCAAACGCGAGTGTCGCTGTCGTCGGCGCGTCCCAACTCTTTGCTGCCGAAGCTTTCATGGTCTGTCCAGCTGGAGAGCGACCTGCAGCAGAACAGGCGCCTGCCACATACACCACCGCTGCCGTGACACCGCCAGAATCGCGGCCGGCGTCAGTATGCCATTTCTATGTCATCATCAGGCAGAAACCGGGAGACTACTTTTTGAAGCGACAGCTTTACAGGCCACACTTTACAGGGATTTCGACCTCGTGGGGTTCTCGTCGCGCCGCTGGGGAAAAAAACCCTTATCTTTGCTCTTGGCGCGAGGCCAGGGAAGTCGGGTTTTTTGCGTCGGCGGCGCGGCGCGGAGAGTGAAGAGCGGGGAGCCCCGGCACGACGCGACGCGACGAAGGAAGAGTCTTCGTGTCGTCTGCTCAAAAGACTTGTTTCCAAACATTACTCGCGTTACGTGAAATCCCACTTTGGCAGTATCAAGTTGCTACGCGTAATGTTGGGTGGGCTTAGAAACTTGCACCGCAAGGTAGATGGCGGCGGTCGCCCGTAGCATCCACAACGCCCGCCAACCACGACGGCTATGAGAAGTAATCACGTCGCGACTCTGTCCTCTGGTACGTGACGGCGCTATTCTCCCAGCATTGCGCGATCTTGCTACACCTATCGCGTTCGTTTCTGCGCACACTGTGGGCGGAAAAGACGAATTTTTGTTTGTAAACCAGCCCGGTTTCCGAAGGTCCCCCTCTTACGAATCACAAGTTCTTTGGACACGGCAAACACACCAGCCGTTGACGCGTCCCATGCAGCGCAGGGATGAGCAAAATACATGCAAATATGTATCGAAATACAAATACAAAATACTTCGTCAAAAATGTATTCAATTACAAATCTAATTACATTTCCAAAAAAAAAAGCATTTAAGTACAAGATACAAATACAACCAAATGTATTTGGTCTTCCTCCAAATGCTTTTCCAAATACGTTCCTCAAAATTTGCGTCAGCGACTTCAGGGCACCTGCAACGGGTTTCTGGGTATCTCATTTTAATTTTGCATCGCATATTTGGGAGTTAGTGTGCGAGGCTGTAGTAACGTAATAGAAACATAATCACAAAAAGAAAATGTAATCAGCTTGGACGTAATAGGTGAAAAAAGTACGGAGCTTCAAGCAGCTTTTTTGTCGATTACATTTTGGTATAGACCAACAAAGAACCGAGACGACCAAGACGCGCAGCACTAGCTAGAGATTTTTTTTATTGTTGCAACTCACACCAGTTACGAAAATCTGGACGACCCGCGCATTTAGAATGTTCCAGGCAAAAGTATGGATGGGAATCAGGCTGGAAAGCATCACAAGTTGTCACAGGCACTTATTTAGCCAGTCTGCCTGTGAACGTCGATTTCGTCACTATTCTTGCCCTGGACTAGCATCGTAATCACAAAGTCACTAAACGCTTGAGCTTAATTGAGAGACACTGCATTCAGTCCAGAACGTAGTTTTCTTCCGGCTCTGTACACGCCTTAGGATGAGCAAAATGAGTCGTGACAATACATTTGAGGGATGTACTTTCACAAACAAAATTGTATTTAATTACAATTGTATTTGAAATACCCGCATTTTAGTATTTAAATACACACGCCAAATGCATTACCCAATTTGTAATCAAATACAAATGCAAAATACACAAAGTATTTAAAATATGTATTTCAAATACTTGTATTTCAAATACTGCCCATTCCTGCACCATAGTATTGAAAAAAAAACGTCGAGTATGGGGAAAATTCTGGCCCCCTGTTTGGCCTGCTGTAAGCATATCGCTACGGGGGTGAGGGGGGGGGCGTCGACATAAGGCGCTTTAATGAATCCGCCGCTACGCGGGTACGCGTGTAAAAGGCGAGAGAAGCTGGTTTCTTTTCATCCAGTCCCGCGTTACGCTGCTCTGACATTTGAGCATATATATAGCTACGAATGGAGATAGGAACTCCTTGTGTCATTATGTTCCGTAGGCGCCGAAGCTTGAAGCACGAAGCACTGTTCTTGGCACCCTGTGATCATTTGTTTCGCAAAACGTTTCTGCCGCAATCAATAAATCAATCGGGCATGCGTCATGAAACACAAACACCGATGTTCTTTATCTCAAGTATATGCTCCGGCACGCCAAACCCTCAATTTGTTCAACCTTGTTTCGCAGAACGTTTCTGCCGCAGTCAATAAATCAATCCGGCATACACTATGAGACACAATGAACAAAATGCACTTAATGGGTGCCGAACAGAGGCTGGAATGCTGTACTGTTCGAGCACAGCACCGACAGCGCTTGCGTATAAGGGTTCGGCGGCAAACAAACGCACATACACTTACAAAAACCTAGCCACAGAACGTTTTGTTACGGAGTGTCAAACTCAATCTGTCTGACACGTGCCTTTTCATTTTTCCCCAACAGCCGACAACTTTAGGCCCTACCTTACATCGTTCCAGAGCAACGACAACACAGACTACATCAACGCAGTCTTTGTGGATGTAAGTTTTTTTAGGCAAATTAATAATTGTCTGATCGGGGACGATCGTTTCAGTGCATTTTGGTTTACACAACATACCAGTCTCCGACAAAAAAAAAAAAAAAAAACGGATTACGTCGGTGTTTGAAGCTATAATTTGAACGACCCGAAAACAAACTTTCTAATCGCAACCGGCTTTGCCTGTTGCTTCTTAAGGACGAGGTAGCCCTGGTCTCTTATCAGAACATCGGCTACTTCTTAAAAAATTTAATTTCAGTGTCTAAAAAAAAAAACTAAAAAAAACGATGCTTTCAGTGCAATTTTACATTGTCCTATAAAAGTTAACTGAGCTTCAAGATGAAACGTAAGTTTTAAGGTTACTTCACAGTAGTTTAGTGACAACACTTTTTGTATAAACATTTTGCGTTTCGTTGCGCAGGGCTACAGTCGGTCGAAGGAGTACATCGTGACGGAGTGGCCCATGGTGCGAACCGCCCAGGACCTGTGGTCTCTGGTCTACGACCACGACTGCAACTCCGTCATTGTGCTGTGCAGCCCACCGGCGTCAAATGTGAGCTGTATTTTTCTTTTTTTGAGATCATCAAACGCGCTATTTCCCCTTGCGGTAAAGCTCAGTCACGCGTGAATTAGTCACTACATGCGGATGTATAGAACTTTGCCCGTTCACCAGATTAAGAAGCTTTTATCGGAGTTCAGGGTGCGCGAACTAACGGGAGCCGGTAAATTCCTTGCTTCAGGGGACACCTCTGACACGGGGCCATGTTTGTTTTTACTGTTCTATAGATTTGGGGGCAGTATTTCCGACTCGCGTGAATCGGCGATTAATAGTGCGCGAGCGTACGGGCTCCCATCCTTGTTGTTTGCCAAAGAACCACAGTCTCGCGTGGCCTAAAATGCGCGTCGCGCGAGCGTTTGGTCCTCCCTGCATCGATTTCAATTTAGGACACAAAGCAATACCACGCTAGAACACAACGCCTTTGCCCCCAAACGTCATCATTGTGGATCCGATCGGCGTCGTCTATCGCGCGTCAGCGGCGCCGCCAACGCGTCTTGCAGCGTCTAACAACAAGCGCTATGTAGACACACGGCGACGCCAGACATCTGCCGCATGCGGCGTACTCTCGTCGATTCACTAAAGATGACGTCACGCGCAGGCCTTGGGTGGTACATAGTGCGCGTAATCGCCGTCTATCTGTCGGTGACGAGTTGCATGAACCGATCTCCTGCGCAGGCGTACCCTTCCTTCTGGCCGACGGAGAAGGAGAAGCGGAAGAAGTACGGGCCCGTGTTCACGGTGGACGTGGTGTCCTACAACCACTACCCGAAGATCAAGACGTGGATCTTCAGGATAAACAAGAAGGTGCGTTGCTACGCACGACTCGCCGCGGATAACCATCTGCGTAGTGTGTACTTACGTGGAGCGCAAGTTCGTCTGCTTCTTTTGCACTGGTTGTGGTGACGTCAGATCGCCGAGCTCTGATTGGCTTTGATTGAAGGATAGTGGGTAGGCCTCAAGCCATGTAGCATTGAGGCCTATCCGCTATCCTTTCGATCAAGGCCAATCAGAGTTCGGCGTCGTTATGACGTCATCGCAACTCCTGCGCAAGAAGGAGACGAACTTGCGTTCCGCATAGAAACGCTATTCCTTCATTTTCCGGACGGCACTGTACTAAAAAGTTCGGGACTTCAGGGACGCAACAAGTTATCCAGGGCCCATGACGGGACTGCAGCACGCCTCGCGGGTACGAACACCGAACGCCAGCGTCCGGCGTTTGAACGCCCAATCCTGAGACGAGGAGCAGACGACGCTCTTGTTCGCTCCGACTGGTGGGAGACGGCGGTTAGGGAGACGAACGCATCCACATGGCTTTGCGCCTACCCACTAATCCGTCCAATCAGAGCTCGGCGCTCTGAGGCCACCGCATGCTCTCATCTCTTCCTCTGCCTCAGTTTCTTGTCGTATACTGCATCTCACAGATGCAGTGCTGATGAAGGCACGGCCGCGACCGCGTGGCTTTGAAAGTGTATAGTATGACAGAAAGTACCGCAGTCGTTTGGAACGTCTCTATGAGAATAAAAAGGTATAACTTGCGGGCATCTCCTAGCTCCGATTCCCTCAGACCCTGTCTCCGGATGAATATGACACTGCAATACTTCGCTCTCGGCAAAAGGGTTTATTCACTCACTCATTGCCTTGGGGGGTTTTGGGATCGGGGGACGGTCATCAGCGAGGCCGGGGGGAAGTCCGCTGCCACAGCAGCTTTTCCGAGTCCCAGCGGTGGTCATCCACACCGCGTCATGGGGACGTTGTCGTCCAGGGTCGCCGTCCGGTCCGTTTGTCGAGTCCGCCACTCGACGTAGTGCCCGCACTCCCTGCGCCAGCGTCCGGCGCCGTCCGAGCTCGCCTCCATGACCGGTCCCTTGTCAAGTCGGCATCCCAAGCCCTCTTCCTTTGTCTCCGTTCCCTTCTTAAGACCTTCCCAAGTCCTTGTCCCGCCGACCGTCCAATCGGGAACCTTGCTGCGAGCCGACCCTCCGACGTCAGCGCTGGGTGAGGAGGCGCTTGCCCCGTTCCTCCCGGAGAGCTCGGACGTTCCGCGACAGGACGGCGACAGGAAACGGGAAGGTCACGGGGAACGAAGGAGCGCCCGACAGTGCGGCGGCAGGGAGCGGCAAGGTCACGGAGAGCGGAGGAGCCAGGGAGAGGGTCCCCACACCTCCCCTCCCTCAAGGCTCGGACCCCGGGGGGCTTGAGGTTGCGTGGTCCCCAGGACCCTGGGCAGGGAGCTCGTTCAGCTGAGTGTCACCGATGACGACGAGCACCCTCGATGATGATGATGGCATCAAACCAAGCAGGTCAGCGGTGAACGTCCATTCATTGGGAAGCTCGTGACCGACGGAGCACGGTCCACGAACTGGTCCGGAGCACCACAGCCCACAACACGGACAGGCACTCAGGCACACACAACACGCCGGCTCTTAAAGTTCGCTCCCGTCCCTAATGTAGCAGACAGCGAATCGCGCAAAAACGAATACCGGCGCGCTATATCAGACAGCGCGACGAAACCAAAATCTTTCGATCGTTGGACATGCCACGAGATAAAAACAAAACTTTTCATTTCAATACTAACGGGCAGGCAATCATCAAGAACGTCAAGCTACACGTTCAAGAGGTACATAAGAGAAAGACCATTCATTAACTAAAAGTATGAGCACTCATTGTATAGGGAGTTTTCACTGACGTAATTTTGTCCGCCATTTTGTTGTTTTGAGCTGTTTAGCGTGTGCAGAAGGCAAGCATTCCAAGGATTTGCATGACCCCTTACATGCGTAGAACACAGAAGATTACAAGTCTTACCACGCTGACATCTCCTCAACAGCTTGCGATGTAATCCTTAATATTAGTAAATTTGTTTGAAAAAAATAAACGAACAACAAAATGGCGGATTGACGTCATATGAAAACAACCTATACTCAAATCGTACATACGCCCACTATACAACATTTGCTCCTATCAAACTCAACCGCATTCTTTTAAAACAGTAAGCAATTTACCAGAGAGTCAGAGCCGCACACCTCTGACAACACTATTAATCTTTCTTAATCTCCAACACATTCGCAAAGAACGTACAAAACCTCAAGAGCTAACAATAACCCCCCGTAAAACAGAAACGGCCACAAATCCTGTCCCGTTCGCCAGGTTCGACTCGAAAAAACAGGCTGCCAACAACCCATGACGGGCACTCATGCACTCGGCGTTCGCGATACCCGAGCTACAAACACGTTACAGCCAAGCTACGCAGCACGCCATCATCAGAGGGGGTAATCACCTTACCGAGAGGCCGTTGTTCCGTGGTACCGGCCACTTACACCAGTACAAAGGGAACAGTACCTGGATCGTGCGAACAGCAGATCTCATTGGACAGCCTATTTACAAAGCTATGTCCGTAACGTCTGGGCATCTACCAGACGTTACCGCTTCACCGCTCGGAGGTGACCACCCAACAGGAGCGACAGCGCGTAACGGCGGTCCGCACCGAACCCCGCACGGGCTCGACAACCGCGACAAGCGCATCGACGCACGTTAGAGTTCTCCCTCGGCCAGACCCCGACACCGCATAACTAAAAGGTCTTCCAGCTGATGTCAAGGCCGGCCGGGATCGAGCAATAAAGGTACGCCGTCAACGCGTCTCGCGACTCTTCGACGTTCTCGAATCGAGCAACGTGTCCACATACAAACGCAGTGGGTTACGCACAAAGCTCGCCCCCAGCCAAGTCAACACGCCGCATGACTGAAAAGTCTTCTTGCGACTGTAAGGACAGGCAGGGTTCGAACAATGTAAGCATCCCACACGCGCACCTCTCAACTTCCGCGCAACGAGCGCGATACCAAAATGCCTAATTATCTAACCGGCCAGTCTTGGAGATGGACGAGCTAATAAACTATATTTGCTCTGCATAAACAGTTTCCGCAGCGTCGAAGTGTCTACAGCATTTACCGCCGCATTCCAACACCCGCTACCCATTCGTGCAAAGGCTGCAGTTAGTACAGCGACGGGCTGACCCAACGCACAACAGTTATAGGCCGCCGACGGCCATGCCGCTGCCATAATTTCTAGGCTTCCCGGGCGCGTTCCCGCCGACGTGAACCGTACGTTTTCCCGGGGCAACCACGCATCTGTACAGGATAAAACTATGAACAACTCGTCACATCATCGCAAGACCGCCACTTCCCTCGTGCAGGTTTTCACTGCACGAGCCCAGCTCTTTCCCCACCTAGCTGTCTTTTCTGCCCTAAATTTATAATTTCACTCTAATCCAGGTCTCTGCACGACCAATTACGCTCTCTACACCCTCGCGTCCCAACGCGAACCCAACCACGGCCGAGAGCCGTACTGTATCCGGCGGCAGCGCAAAGCGCGCGCTGGCCGCCGCTCCTCCGGAGGACGGAGAAAACGAAATGAAAGAGTAACTCCCGCCGCAAGGCTCAACCCTCGATATGGCGGTGTGAGGATCCGGAACCAACTGTGCGCACAATCAAACGGGATCAACCTCCCGACTCTACAACCAGATACGCACGGGTCATGCCCATCGTGTCACACTGGACTCCACGGAGCATTACACACGCACAGCCACTGATAAGTGAACACGGAAACTCTGTGGCTTTCGGGATTTCGATGTCTACGCACCAGACATCGCGTATCCGGCACAATTTAGTGGGCTCAGCCCCTAAATGTAGCCTCTGGCCACAAGGTACTGGTTCAAAGCGATCTTGGTCGGAACCACAAGAGCGTATCCGTACCTTAAAACGCTGTCAACTAACGACGCTCAAAACCGCGCCGACAGCTCAAGCAAGGCCAACTGGGAGCTAGCATGGGATCAAACCGAGACGCTAGTCTCCTCACGGACAAAATGCAATGCGGGAATAATTTCCAAACACAGTCCATGCAACCGCCATCCGCAATGGGAGCGTTCTCCACCCAAAGCGATGTGTCTCTAACGCGTCCGATCGGTAACAAGCGTTCCAAAACATTACATCGATACACGAGCAAAGGCGGTTAGGCGCGTCACATCCCCCGAAGCGTGAGCCGGCATCTTTCCCAGCGGACGCGGACGGCCGGAGGCGTAGGTGGGGGGACGCCCGACGCTACAGGCCTCGAGGGGTGCGGTAATTTCGACGCACAGAGCGCTCTTGCTCAGCAGGATCAACCTGCCAGCATCCAACGGTGCGCTGGACAGCGAATACTCGAGGCGCTTCTCGTAACGGGGGATAAGTAAATTCCTGACAGGCTGGGCAAAAGGGTTAATCCCTTAAAACAGCGGTCAAAGTCCGCGCCTCCTAGTCAGACAGGCGATAATGTCAGGGCCTAAGTGCGGCGCTCCCGCAACGAAACTTCGTGCGGCGCTCCCGCGACAAAGATATGACCCCCAAAAAGAGCGCGAAACAGTGCCCTAATTCAACCGGAAACAGGTTAGAAATCGGAATGCCTGCCTGATCAAAAATCAGGCCCCACGTTGCGGCGCCAGTTTATGCGGGCATCTTCTAGCTCCGATTCCCACAGACCCTGTCCCCGGATGAATATGACACTGCGATACTTCGCTCTCGGCAAAAGGGTTTAATGACTCACTCATTGCCCTGGGGGATTTCGGGATCGGGGGACGGTCATCAGCGAGGCCCGGGAGAGAGTCCGCTGCCACAGCAGCTTCTCCCAGTCCCAGCGGTGGTCGTCCACACCGCGTCATGGGGACGTCGTCGTCCAGGGTCGCTGCCCGGTCCGTTTGTCGAGTCCGCCACTCGACGTAGTGCCCGCACTCCCTGCGCCAGCGTCCACCGCCGTCCGAGCTCGCCTCCATGACCGGTCCCTTGTCAAGTCGGCATCCCAAGCCCTCTTCCTTTGTCTCCGTTCCCTTCTTAAGACCTTCCCAAGTCCTTGTCCCGCCGACCGTCCAATCGGGAACCTTGCTGCGAGCCGACCCTCCGACGTCAGCGCTGGGTGAGGGGGCGCTTGCCCCGTTCCTCCCGGAGAGCTCGGACGTTCCGCGACAGGACGGCGACAGGAAACGGGAAGGTCACGGGGAACGAAGGAGCGCCCGACAGTGCGGCGGCAGGGAGCGGCAAGGTCACGGAGAGCGGAGGAGCCAGGGAGAGGGTCCCCACAAACTTAGCCGGCTGCGGTCATTGCTGAAAAGGGGAGCTCATATTGTGGCTATGGAAAATGCAAACAAGACGCCAATGCCGTGTTCGCATTAACTGTGTCCCGCACTGTACTTTGTCTCAGGACGTGGTGTAGACAAGCGCCATTTGGAGCACACAAACTGCCCGATTCTAAAACCACCCATTCAAAAATACTTTTTTTTTTTTGAGGCAGGGTGGCGGTTTGACACGGAGGGCGAGACATTGAAGGCGCCATCAACATTAACGTGTGTCGTTGATAAAGTTAGGGTAATCGTTATTAATCTAACTGCGATTGTAGTTAAAATCGTCGAGCCATTTTCATGTGCAACTAAAGTCGCTCGGGCGGTGTGTGTCCACGCCGCGTGTAGTTATGTACGGTGCTCACCAAACCTAAACGGAACACGCGAGCCGCGTCTTTTCTTGCGGGGGCGCCATGGTGGCGGCCGCAGAGCAACGGTTTTCGCGACGTAGCATTGAACCAACCGTCCCGAAGTGCTGCGTCAATGGTCCTCCTCTGTTCAGCTTCATCCAGGAAAAGCGCTGCCAAAACAAAAACCCGCAGTTCGTACCTTCCGTAAGTTCGTTGTAGGCACCGCACGCGCGTCGAAACCGAACCGACGACCGTCTCTATAACGACGCGCGACGTCCCGCCTAGGTGGTGTCGCTGACGGAGCTGATGGCCGGCGTGAAGGCGGAGCCCAAGACGACGCAGATCTTCCAGATCACCTGCTGGCCCGAGCGGCACAAGGTGCCCACGTCCACCAACTCGCTCGTCGAGCTCATGAACATGGTGGAGCGCTGGCGACAGAGGACCACCTACGGACCCGTGCTCGTCATATCCACGTGAGTTCAATGCGCGGCGACTCTGACGTTACTCACGCCTCTGCGGTTGGAGTGGTTGCCGACACGGAGCATGGACAGACAGACGCTTCGCACCAGGCGAAACTCGCTTCTGAGCACACGCCTCAAACCTGTTGTGGTCGTCTTTATGCGTCTGCTAATGGCGGCTAAACCGATCACGCATAAAGAAACACCTGCAGGGTGGCGCCGCCGCGTTCACTGTGCCTGATTGGATTAGACGGTAATAGCAAACGGCACTAAGACGAGGAGCGCCGTGACGACGCACTTTTGGCACTCCTTGATTGGCTGCGTCGGATCATGGCGCTGGCTGCGATCGGACTTGCCGTGAAATATACTATCTATATTTGTATAGCTGTCGAGACCGGTTATAACGAAGTCAATTATAGCGAAATAGCGGCTACAGCGAAGTGATCACGATTTCCCATTTCCTTTTGCACTTCGTTATAACCGAAGTCGGTTATAACTAAAATTCCGTATTTTCAGTTTTTTTTTTTTTTTTTCAAAATCCAGCGTACATTTTTCGGCGTTTATTTTAAAATTCATGTTTCGGTTTTTTTTTCGACGTACATTTATTACCAAAAAAGTTTACCGTTTTTTTTTTTTCGGTGAATATGAAAAAAAACAAAAAAAAAAAACATGGGACACCGGATCAGATGATCCTTATAGCTGTGATATTTGTGATCACTCAAAGAATAACGACACATATAAATACGTGGTCTTCGCTACCACTTCCGTCAGGACACACCTAGAGATTGCGGAACTCACGGGCATAATCTTCAGCGCGCTTCTTTTCCGCTTACATTCTCACGACGTGACCGCCTGAGCTGATGGCCGTACAAACCCCAGCGGAATGGCAAAAAAAGAAAAAAAAATCCATTGTATTTATGTTTTTAACCACAGGAAACCTTGAGAGAGGGTGTTAAAAAAGGTATTAGCGGCTTTCCTCGATGTCATCTAAAGTGCATGAAGTGAAAAACCTTATACTAGCCCACATCCGAACTTTTTTTTTAGGACCGGGAACTTGACACACTACAGGCCTGTTCACACATGTAGCGGAGCGGTACAAGCATAGTGCTAACCTCGCGCTAAGCGCGTGCTGACGGGAGCGTTCGCCAGCTTTGCATCGCACCGTCATAATTGGCGCTCATGGCAGATTATAAGTAGCAGACGACACGTGAGTAGCGCTACATCAGCGCTTCGCTGCATGTGAGAACCGGCCTTAAGCCCGATCACAGAAAGGACACAGATGTCCCTCGAAGGCCAATCCAAGAACTCTTTTGTTGCATGTTGAACCTTGGAAGTGGACAATCACGAAGACGTCACACAATGTCGAACCTTGCCAAAACCCTCTCTCTCTGCCCCCCTCCCCCCACCCACCTCGACGCGGCCGTAAAAAACTAACCTTTTTCGGTTAAAACCGAATTTTAGAAAACGGATTAGACATACTTTTATCGGTTTTTATTGGTTTAAACTGAAAACATCGAACCTACTAACTGACCTTTTTCGGTTAAAACCGAACTTCTGAAAGTAAATTCGGCGTACTTTTATCGGTTTAAACCGAAAACTCCGAACCCTAGTTATAACGAAATAGCGGATATAGCGAAGTGATTTCCGATTCCCGTTGACTTCGTTATAAGCGGTCTCGACATACCTTTTGACGTTTGCACCGATATCGAAAGCACCTCATTCTTTCCGTAGTATACATTTGTGGGTGCTATGAGCCTGGTTTGCGATGAGCGTGGTGCTTTGCACACGCCAGCAATACCTCTTAAAAAAAAGTTTTTTTTTCTTTTTTTTTTGAGTTAGGCGTTTTAATGTATTTTTGAGATACAACCATGATAACGGCGGAGGGTGTGCTCCTTGCTCTACTCAAAATCGCGTTGTGGGAACAGCCGCAAAAGTTGAGCTGTGGCTCCTAGCCTTTGCTGGCAGCCGCGGTACACGGGGTAATGGCACATCCTAAGGTGAAACGGGCTGTAACACGATTTACGTACGTGCAGAATCGCGGGCAGGTTGGTGCCCACATTGCATAGGCCTGTGCTCGACGATTGCACTACAGTACCTGTTGCCGACTACGACAATTTCTCTAGAACCTTCATTTATTTATTTCAGACGCGCGCACACTCTCTCTCTCTCTTTCGACTACACAAGTAATTATCTTCCGCGTATTTTTTTTTCAAAGAGCAATTGAATAATTACGTGGTAATTTTGCAAAATACTCCTATAGTTTCTTTTTTTTTTTTTGTAAGTGTAAGTCTAATATTTCCTTGTTGTGGAGCATAAATTATAAACTCTGTACGAACTAGTCACACGAAATGGAAATAGCCTATTAATTGTCTGACACGTGCAAGCTCTTGCTGCGTAAGGCGATGCTCGTGAAATCAGAAGAAAAAAAAAATGGGGGTTTATAACAATATCTACAGAAAGGAGATTTCTTGACGCAGTTCGAATTTTTCGTTGTTCCCCTCGGCCGACAGCAGAGAACCGAGATGAAAGAGGCGGAACGGTCGTAATGTATAGACATGAAAAAAAAAAAAATTAAAAGAAGAGAAATTCTGGAAAAAGATCAGCTAAATAAGGCACAAGTGGAATATATGTTACGCAGTAGTTAATTTTTGTCAGTTGCAGAAGGGTCGGTATCTTGAGTTGCTTGGACTCTTGTCCCAGCCGTTGTGTTCTCGGTACAGGAACGGCAAGTGCCGAGCCGGCGTCTACTGTGCGGCCAACGTGGCGATTGAACAAGTCGTAGAGCATGGAGAGGTTGATGTCTTCCAAGCTGTCAAAACCGTTCGTCGCCACCGACCGCAGCTTGTCGAAAACATGGTAAGTACCCCCCCCCCCCCCCCCCCCCCCCCCCCGCATTGGATATTCACAGTTGCAACACCAAAGCAAAGATGCACCGCGGAAAAGATGTACCGACTCCCATGCTTCTAATTAAGCAGCTGGGCGTAAAGTAAACACGTAGATTGTTTTTTGTCTATTGGGTTTACGAAGACTTGTATCGCACAGTACCGAGCATGCGCCAATTCGTCACAATAGGCGCCCATCCGTACGTATTAAACGTTTATTTTTGTGTTGGCGTAGGTTTGTTGAAACACCCTGTATTTCCGTTGCTTAAAAGGGTTCTGACACGCCAAAAATAAAATATGAGAAAACCATACTGCTAGGACCCATTGTATGTTCCTATAATCCTGCTAAATTTGTTTTGAAAATGGCGAGATATTTGCTTGGATTAATCTATTTATATGCGGGTTTCTCGGAAAGGCGGATCCGGGCGGAGCGGGAGGCTGGTGACGTCATCAGCCTCCCGCGCGCCGTCCCCTTGCACGCACTCACAGGCTTGGCTCTCTTGGCGCCTCGAAGCTTCAGCTTTGTCGTCTATCTTCCATGTTTCGAGCATGCGGCCCGTGGCAATTACGTCTTCGGCATCACTCGTCTTGTCAAAGTGTTCGACATTGATCGCAGCAGCGATGAGAATGATTGCCATCAAGAAATGTTGGAAGCTGTACATTTTGACTGCGACCCGCTGGCGACCAGGTCCAGCGACGTGGTCACCGTCCTCCGGGAATATTTCGCAGGCGCATGCAGGGTGGAAGGTCAACGGGCCAGGGGCGAGAGCGATAATAGCTTTCGGGTTGCCGAGTTGCGTGAGCGGTTTTGATCGTACCGCGGCGAAGAGAGTTTTTGCGACTATGGGGCCGCCTAGAATGAGAGAGAGTTCATGATCACGAGGCTTATGGACACCATGGTGTGACTAACTTGGGCAGTGTTGGCTGGTCGCCAGATGAAAATGATAAAAAGTCAATATTTGAGTATTGCAACCACCAGAGCTCTAAAAATTGCCTAACTTGGTGTATACACTAAGTAGCCTATGTGCATTCAATTTCAAGAATAATCTATCCGTTTAAGTTTCGTGTCATAACCCCTTTAAAGGGATGCTGAACCGAAATCTGGATTCCACAAAACACGGCGGCAAAAGCGTGCAACGGGAAGCTACAAACACCAAAACATCACTTATATGGCGATATCTCAAACGGATGACCGTATTTTTCAAAAAAAAAAAAAAAAGAAAAAAAAAAGAAGCGCATTTGACAGATAAGTTTACGTCTTGTCTCTCCGAGAAGGGGAGGGAACGGCCTCGCGTCTTCTCAGCCTCGCCGCCTTGAGGGGGCGAAGCGAAGAACGGAGGAAGCGAGATATTTTGACGTCACGCGCCTCGTCGGCCTCAATCAATCTCGACTTTTTTTTCGCAAAAATGCGGCCGTCCCTTTGAGACATCGCCGTACGAGTAGTGTTGTAGGGATTGTAGCGTCCCGCCTACAGCTCCTGCATTGTTTTCTTAAACTCAAATTTCGGTTCACCATTCCTTTAAAGGTTCGTAGTGGGTCTTCCTTCGCGTGTTTCCCCTTTAATTTTCTTCCTTTCTGTTTCTTGCAGACCGAATACAAGTATTGCTACGACCTTATTCAGCACTATGTGCTGCACTATCTGAACAAGGAGTGAGTCCTCGCCTTTTGGAGGGAGTAACTTGCCGTGCTTTCAAAGTCCACATTCCAGAAGAAAACAGTCACACATAACACACGACCCTACCCCAACTCCCCGGGAAACCACGTCCTGCCATGGTAACGACATTAGCCAAAGCCTGTCTCCGAGATCGTTCCGCGGTCCCAAGTTCACTTCCAATGGTGACAATTTCATTTTCGGTTTCGTACCGGTTCGGTGCGTGCAGTGCAACGAGAAGCACGAAACCGCTGCGACGCAGGGTCACGCGGTATAGCGTACGGCCAATCACAGAAGACCTTCCGCATGGTACCCCAATGTGAGAAAACATCACAGACTTCCTGCGAAAGCGGATTGGTTGTAAAACTGCTTCAGCGCTAACAAGGCTCGAGATGTGGTTGTAGTGTGTTATCGATTTTTCGAGTTCAGCTGTGCGAATCGTTTGATGCGACTGATTAGCAGACTTTTTAATGCTATTTGAATAAGTGACGGTGTCTCAAGGGTTGCCACATGGTATGGAAAGATGATCGAGTTGGAAAACAGCAGATTAAGGGCTGCCCAAACAGGATATGTTTTCTGCAGTTCTTCCTCCGGTCCCAATCCGCTGTAAAAACTTTTTTTTTTTTTTTTTTTTGCGAGAGGGGTTTTAATTTGCTTTTGTCCTTGGGCAGAAGAGACTCGTAGCGTGCTAATCACGCGGGTACGGGGAGCCCCTCACACGATTTACTCGCTGTCGTCAAGGCCTTCGCTGTTGCTGTCAGTCCTCAATCTACCGAAGCAGGAAAGGGGAGGAAACAACAGCGAAAAGGCAAGGAGGAAAGCCGTGCTGTTTACGTGGTTGATGTCCCCAATGAAAAAAGACACGCGCGCCGTAACTTTCGCGTTTTTTTTTTTTTTTTAGAAGCGTGCGTACGTTTTTTGCCGTGCACAGTGTTTGCTGTGTCCTGTTTGGACAGCACTTGACGCTCGCTTAGGAAAGTGTTACGATGGTAGCGTGAAATGGTTGCTCGTTTGACGTCGAGACCTCCATAGAGCACAGCAGTTGCGCGCTGTTCCGCAAACAGGCGGATGAAATGGAGCTTGGTGGACGGTGAAAGCGTGATGATTACGCCCGTTTTCATCTCAAGAACCGTAGTATAAAAAAAGAGTACTGCTCCTCGCGGAGCATCACCACTTCCCCCTTTACGTGGATAATTAAGATATATGTAAGTGGATGATTTTAGGTTAGGTTATATGTTATCTTATCAAGACGTCCACGTTCCAAATGCAAAAAGCATCGCTTTTTCGTCTGATAACCGAATCTTGCAAGAACTACTTCGCGCCGCGTAGGAACAATGCACAAAGCTTGTTTTTTTCTTGAGGTGAAGACGGGTATGGACGGAATAGCGAGTTATTAGAGGGCTATGAAGTCACGTATTGTTTAGTAAGGTACGTTGTTGGGCTAGTTGGTTCATCTTAGTAAAACATATAAAATAGCGCAACAGAAACAAGGACAAGAAGTAAACAGGACAGGCGCTAACTTTCTAGTTGGTTCATCTTAGTAAAACATATAAAATAGCGCATCAGAAACAAGGACAAGAAGTAAACAGGACAGGCGCTAACTTTCAACTAGTTTTATTCTGGAAAATTGAACACATATATACACACGACAGGCAAAGCAGCACCACGTAAAAGTCGTGGTGCTGCTTTGCCTGTCGTGTGTATATATGTGTTCAATTTTCCAGAATAAAACTAGTTGAAAGTTAGCGCCTGTCCTGTTTACTTCTTGTCCTTGTTTCTGTTGCGCTATTTTATATGTTTTACTCACGTATTGTGTCCCAACCGTCTAGGTGGGCAACGAACATTTTAGGACATCGCGGCGTAGTTTATGTGCCGACCATGTTTTGTTTCGGAGATCGTTTGAAGTGTGCGGTAGCTTGCGCCACCTGGCTAGTCTGGTGAATGCCAAACCTAGATATTCGAGTGAGAACTCCCAAATTGGCCCAGGTTTTGAACAAACGCTGAAAGCAAGAAATACATGGGGCAATGCGTATGTTTAACAAATCCTGTTTCGAACAGAAACAGCGTTGTCTATGTTGCTGCATTCCCTCACCTTCACCCTTGTACAGAAACTTCCCAAACTCGGAAAGCGGGAACGGCAGGGAACGGCACCCTGCCAATCTCACCTTCGAGCAACCATCTTGATAGACTTGCCTATACTCGTTTTGAGCACACCGAAAATCGAATCAGTGTCAAGTGCGACGTAGTTCTTTCTGAGCAAGCTAGATGTGTTATGCATATTTGCGCACCAAAGCGGGCACCAAAGTTGCAAACGGCGTGATACACCAAGTTTGCTGCATCCAGAATGACACAGGCCTTCGGTTTTTGGACAAGTGAAACCTTCCACCAGTTGCGATCATATCTATACGTCATTATTTTCCTTCTAGTCTTGCAACTCTGCACACTTTTAAAGAGCTACAAATACATAGCCCTCATCGTTTTTCTTTCAATAGATTTTGTGCCAGTGCTGCTTGGCATTATTTAGATGTTTGTCTCGAGGACATCTAAGTGAGTTGAGATCATAGTTCTCGTTTTAGCAAAGTGCTTCCGAGACAACCGCATAGTTTGGACGATGGAATAGCCCGGCGAAATGATGACATTGTTCGCAAAGACAGACTTGTGATTTTAGATCCCTCAGCAGGGTTTGATGATCATTATGAATTCATAGTTGGGCTGGAGAGTTTGATTATGTTGTTGTTCCTATGCTGTTTATACTGTGTTGAATGTGAGTGTATAGGTGGCAGCTTGGGATGCAACCATCTATTTTTATATAGTTGAACTTATATAACACTTCTTCTCAGTACTACATGCAATCGCAGATTAAGAATTGTCAACTGATCTGTATCCACAACATAGCACAAAAAATCCACAATGATCTCGAAGTGTCTGACATCTGTTGTCAAATAGGTTAAGCTAAGTGAGGCAGACAAACAGTGCGAGCCATGTTTGCTTGTAATCAGCTTCTTCCACTTCTTTTGTGGCTCATGATCTAGTTACCAGTCCAATCAGCTTCAGACCAAGATTTTGTCTGTATGTAGTTGAGACTGTCGTGCAGATGCAAGGCTGTAAACACACACCGTAAACATTCAAGCCACACACATAAATGTTACAATTGTTTGTTGCTCATGCAACCCCATCTGCAACACTTTGACTTTCTGCTGCTTGACGCTGAAAAGGAACCGTGCCTTTCATACCACCCACTTCTGCAATCCTGAAAAGTGCGTCGAAGCCGTCTGCGTAAGATTAATCTTAGAAAGGTTTTACATAAATGCAATGTATGGACCCTGTATGTCTTTGATATCACTTTATACCTTTCTAGCCGGGCGCAAGTTTTCGGTGGGACGCTTACATCAACAAATACACACATACAAAAGTTGGGGGCCAGACCTAGGCCCTGGAATCAAATTGGTGCACCCCCACAGGTTCACAATAGCATGTTGTTGCGTGCTGTCGCAGACAGCCAAAAAAGTTTAGGCAAAAAAGTTTAGGAGGGTGTAGTAGGTTAGGGTTGACGTCTGTCGACCAATTGTCACGAGCAGATGCAGACGACAGGCTGACACTTAGGTGCAAGTTTTATCTGAAAAAAAAAAAAAAAAAAGGGTGAGAGCTATCTTAAGGGGACCACCAGACTAACCTGTGTCAATGTTAAACTCACTCCAAAAACAAAAAAAAAGAAGTGTAGGTTTTGCTTAAAAATGCTAGGAACTTTTGCCAACATCTCTTCCAATGCTCCACAGCTGATGAACAAAAAGAACACGCAATGTATGCAGCAATGTCAAAAAATGCCTTGTCGCTTTTCTGTCAGAATAGCCGCGCACATATCTGCTGCCTGCATCTGTCCGTGGACATGCCAAGAGACATTTTGCGTGGCGCAGCTTGCTTTACAACGTCATTGGGATTGTGCCAAACTCCTCCTAGTACTATATTGCTTTGTGGAAATAAACTGTTCAAAGAAATTCCAGAGGATCTGTGACTTATAAATGCTGCGCTGCGAGATGCTCCTCAAGTATGAAGAGAGGTGAGTGATTTCATGCACTGTGTAAATGTAGGTAGACATATGTTTAGTAGTTGCATTATCTCGCAAAAAACGTCTTATGCTGCTGCAAGTCTAAAAAAAAAAGTTTGTAGTTCTTTCCTCTCTCGAGTCATCATCTTAACGGAACAAAATGGCATGTTACAAGGCAAGAAAACTACTATTTTAGACAGTAAAACAGCTTATGCAGACTCAAGCTGTTCAAGTTACAGATGGGTTTAAATTAAGGTAAAGCAAGCCTATTATTTACAAGGAATAGGAAAGTCTTGCTTGGAACATTTTTGTCCAAACCTTCTAAGAGTAATTGGTCTGGCTCAAATCCAGCTAAGGTCCTCATTTATTCATTACAAACACCGAGCTGGATACCCTTCGACACACTGCATCTACCAAAACAGGCTTAAAATCCGTACAACCTTAGAAATGTTTGTGGAGGGCATTCAAAACTAGTCAGCAACGTGAAATTCAAATTAAACTTGCTTGGCAGGTAAATTTGTTGAGCATTCAATATGTGAGGTTATTAATGACAACTGATGACGAAGTACATATGTTAGGCAAGGTGACGGCAAAGTCACTCTGGGTCAGTCTGTTTTTAGGAAGGCAAGATTTCCAGATTATAATTCATTCAATCTAGAATACATCAAATTTCGTGGACAAAACCGATTCTACAATTCTCACTTTCATAGTGTTCTATCGACTCGATAAACAGATTCGACTAGCTTTGAATAAAACAGTGAGACCTTCTCCTCCGATCTGTGCTTGAACAGAAGACCACCCAACACTTATATTTAAGAAAAGACCACACTTTTAACGTCCCCACCATCAAAGATGCCCGGTAAGACAAGCTTCGCAATATGCACCGAATCCCTTTACTTCTTAGTACACCTTTCCACCCCAACTGCATTTTTCGTTTCCACAACCTAGGGGCATGGAAACAATGGTTCGAACAAAACAGCGCCGTGTCATCTACAAATTTAGTGACGCAGCGCAAACCGGGATGCCACACAGTGCCCAAGCACTGTGGAGTCCACTATGACATATTCAGTTTTCAGCACGTCTTTCCACCTAACTGCATTTCTCGTCTCCGAAACCTAGGGCACGCGAGTGGCGGTTCAAATCAAATCAAGTGGTGCCGCGTCATTTTTAAATTCGGCGGCGCAGTGCAAGCCCCGACGCGACAAAGTGCGGCTTGATTTCGGCCACCACAAAAGTGCCTCTCTTAGAATCTGGAGTTAAACGAGTCCTGACTTCATCGCCTACCGCGTCCCACCCCTAAGAGCCCTCAAACTTCATCGTCCGCACCACGTCCTTGGTGAAGTGGCGGCAGCAGCGGTCCTGTTCCAGTTCAAACGGCGCAAACTTGACAAACCGGCACGACGGAAGTCTCTCCTTCACCCTCGTCGTCGTCTCGGCGCTCAGGTGAGGGCCCGAGCCGACGAACCACGTCAGCCGCGGCGCCAGCTGCAACAACGCAAACACCGCCGCCTCGTTGACCGTGGTCCTCCGCAGGCAGACCCTCGTGAGTTCGAACCGATGACCTCTCAACTTGCGCTCCGCGGCGAGCTTCACAAACGCGATTCCCGTGAACCCCGTGTGTCCCAAGAAGAGGAAGCGGAGGCCCGGGCCACGTGTGAGGATGAGTTCGACGCCCTTGTCGCCGACGTCGGTGCCCTCGAGGTCGATGGCCTGGAGAAACCGCAGCACGGGTTCAACGTTGGTCATGCCGCCGTCGTTGACGCGGTGGCAGCCTTCGAGGCCGAGCGCCCGCAGCGACGTCCAGTTGGCGAAGCGTCCGAGCTCGCCGCTCGTCACGAGCGTGCAGTAGGAGACGTCGAGGAAGGCGAGTCGCCGCAGCGCCTTGGCGGGGTCGGGACGGAAAAACTCGGACGGGTGGAGGAACGAGCCACGTAGGACGAGGTGGGTGAGCGACGGCGGCAGCTCGGCGACGGTGACCTTGGTGGAGACAGTGTTGTTGGCGATGAAGGTGTCCCTCAGGTGCAGCACCTGCGTGACGGCGGGAGCGACGCAGTGTCAATGCGTGTTGCTGCGATTCGACTCGTTCGCGAGAGGATGGAAGGGAGCAATTGCACTCTCGCGCAATTGCTGAAGCGGCAAAAAGAAATAACGGGCGCAAGATTCGGTCTGTGTAATGTTCTACTTCAAGATGACAAGTATGAGTGGCCAGGTGTGAGCTTTTGGTTTGGTTCTAACACGGATAAAATGCCCATGTTCAGCGAGAAATGTGTGTACATAGACTGCCTTCAGGACAAGGAAGAGTTTGTGCTCTAAGGTAGGTACTTTGGGCGGTTTTTTGGGTGGTAGGTGAGATGGGAGAACATTTTTACGGAGATGGATAACGATCCAATAACTTGTGATAAGTATGATGAGATGGGATTTAGCAATGTGCACTGCAGCAACGGCCGACCAAGTGCATCTGTGGGGTCCTTGCATGTGGCCCTAGTTGTCACCTAAACAAACGGCCAAAAAACCGACCCATCGCAACAAACCAGGTAAACTTCCCTTCACCACAACTTGCACCACGGTTAGCCTAGGGTACAAAACCCCCAATAAATTGGCAGATGAATTTCGTCGATGGAAACACCCGAACAAGGCATTCGAAGTACAGTTGTAAAGTCGACTGTAGTCTGCTACGGATTTAGAATCGCACAATGAGCCCTTCTCACTATGTTCTCTGCTATAGTCCGTTTCACGAAAACTTGGGAAACTGTAGAGACGGCAACTTCTGTGACCGAAAAAAAGTGCCGGAACAAATCACGTCACGTGATAACACTCCATGGTTGAGGCCACGGAGGCCTCGTTACTTCCACGGCAAACGCGCCATCCTCAACAAAATAGTAGTTCTAGGTTTTTTCCTTTTAACAACAATTGAACTTGCCCTATTCTATCCCTATCGAGGTTATATTAAAAAAAGAAGAAATATGGACGAATTTATCCATTTCAATTATATGTAAACAAAAAAAGTGACGCCACATCCCTATCCGCTTCCGGTATTTTTCTTCTTGCCACATCGTAGCCATTGGCGATCGCAGTCGTGTAATTGACCACTCTGGCATTAGCACCTGCCAAAGATTTGCAAGTAAATTGAGCATATGGTTTGCTCACGAACTCTCCCCGAAGACCTCGCTACTCCAGCAGAGGGCAGTGTTGTGGCACTGGATGTTTGTCCTAAATTGGTTGGTTTCGCAGCATCCTAAATTGGTTGGTTTCGCAGCAGACAACTCTCATCCAGTAGACAACAACCGGTCCCTTGGCACAGTAAACACACACGCTCCCATGACACGGTATTACGTGCCTCCCTCTGACACTCTTATTGGGTCGCAGGGGCTGTAAACTCCACAGTTCACCAAGTTATAGTGAAACAAAATATAGCCGTGACTGGTGGCCATAGCTACACTCATACAAAAGGGGGCTTTATTGAAGGAGCTTGCCTCACTATTGACCTGCAACAGACTATAGGGCACATTCTTTCCAATGACCCTTTGAATGAATATAAGCGAAGTCTGTTCAGTGGCTGGCGTCTTGTAGTTGTTGACAGGCTACAAACCGAGTAGATGGTCTGCCTCCAGCACAAGCTTTCTGCCTTCGACGACACTTCGGCGCATGCGCAGCCAAAGGCCGTCGCAAGGCAACGAGCGTGTGCCGGAGGCATAGCGTCTACTAGGTTCTTAGCCTCTCACGTATTGGGACTTCGTTGCGGAGTAATACCATGCAGCAAATCCTGGGCCCCAATTGGCCTGTTCGAACGTCCCATCCTTTCGCAAGTGGGAAAGAACCATGACCTTTTCGCACTCGCTGTTCAACGCAAGACGGCTCGCGATGGTAAACTGAGCAGCGTTGACGGGTAACAAACCAACTGCCACAGGCAAGCGAATCTCCGAGGTGACATCTACGTATGCATGTAACACTGGCTAGCCGTGCCCCCTTCTCTCTAGCGCGTAAACCTCGGGAATGCGTTATACACTAGCCCATTGCCGACTATGCGGAGCGCAAGTTTGTCTGCTTCTTTTGTAGGGGTTGTAGTGACGTCAGAATGCCGAGTTCTGGTTGACTCTGATTGAAGGCTAGTGGGTAGATCTCAAGGTAGCTTGCTTTAAGGTCTACCCACTATCCTCCCATCAGAGTCAATCAGAGTTTGGCGTTCTGACATCACCATAACCCCTGCAAAAGAAGAAGATGAGCTTGCGCTCCCAAGGACCCGGTTCGTCGACGGCTTACCTGAAGGGACGGGCAGCGTTCGACCAGGTATGCCAGCGACTTTGAAGTGAAGGAGCGCGTCCGCCAACGCGAGTGGTCAGTGTGAAAGAACTGGACGGATCCGCGCACGCGGAGCTCCAGGACGTGGGAGTTGAGCTGGTGGCGAATCAGAGACCAGGCCTGGGACACCGTGAAGGGCACCGACGTCAGGTCCACGACGCGACGCAGGGACTGGTCGCGGCTCACTCGGTACCACCGCCTGCAAACGCTGACGTCGAAAAGGGGGCGATGGGTTATTGCACGGTCGGCCATCGTCACCGTCAATGGTCGATGTGAAGGTTTAGGGCTGCCCAGAAGGAATGCTAGAACTTGAATGCTGAATTTGGCAGCAAGGTAATGCATTCCTAAAACTTCTAGCCGTGTGCAAAAAATAAAAAAAATAAAAAAGGTTTGGAAGTTTGGAAACTAAAGGAAGCTGCTGTAATGTAGTGTTATGCTACCGAACTCGCGGTTCGTCGTTTGCTTTCCCCTTTCAGTCTCTGGATTTCAAGACAAGAAGTTGCAGAGTCCACAACCCGCCCCGCCCCCCCCCCCCCCCCTCTCAATTATGAATAAGTGGACGCACATGTACGCTTTCAATTAGTGCGCCATCCGGGGGGTCATTTTCTTTTGGATTTTGAGGTTCGAGAGAGGGTTCATTTAGTGAACTGAGATTAGGACATGAAACCTCCATTGTCATTTATCCTGTCGTTGCACTGAACAGTGCTGGAGCATTGCCTGCTCCGAAGCCCCACTTCTGCGATTAGAAATTGAAGCGGTAGACAAAACGGTCGAGGTAGAAAGACTAATGAAATGGAAGTCAATGCAAGGCAAATCAGATCCAGTCTTTGTTTCAGACAGTAGATTTGACTCGGATGATTGGCGTAGCTTGCCATTAATAAATTACAATTCCACCAAGCTGCCTCATCCTCGAGCTTCTCTATCTTAAATATAGATTGGACGTATTGTGCAACGATTGGACGAGTCTATGCATCGCAAATCTCAGCATCTGTCAAGAGGCGGTGAATCAAGCAGTGTCGGCAGGACGGAACACGGAAGGATACGAGAAAAAAACCTACCTTCCTGCTATGCAGAGGTCTCTGAATTTGAGATGCTGGAACACTTCGAGCAAGATACTGTCGGGTACCTGCTCGATGTGTCTACCAAAAGCGCCCAGTGTCACCAGGCTTCGGCTGACGGCGTGTGTATGCGACGCGTCGTCGGTTTCCGACTTGGACGATTTCGTCCCACCTGCAGTCTCCATCGGGACCTCGACTCGTCAAGAGTTCTGAAACACCTCCGCCACACAATTTGAAGCGAATGCCGTAAACCACACCATCGCCGCCTCAATTTCGGGCGTCATCTGTCCAGCGACCAGAACAGCAACAATGCAGGACAGGACGCCGCCATTTTTAAAATGTCGGATGACTCGGACGACTTTGTAGACGAATAGACGTACAAGCAGAGTGCCGTCTAGCAGAGCTCTGCCACCTAGCACAGAGTCGCGCTGTAACTTTCGCCATCTCTCGAATATCGAACGAATCAAACGACCGTACGGCCCGTACGGCCGCAAGAGGCAGCGGGAGCGTTTCCAGCAGCTGGCGCCATCTAAAAGAACTACCGCAAACCCTTCGACGAGCTCTCCGTGCGCCTCTCTTCCCGTTCTGCGTTCCGAGAAAAAATCGGGGCAAAGGCAGTTTGTTGTTGCACGGCTGTGTCCGCGCCGATGTGCGCGTTTCTGCATCTTCTCGCCTCGGGATATGCCGCCGACATGACCAAGCCTCGAGACCGCCCGCGGCGAGCCACCGCCGATCACGTACGAGCGAGCGCCGAGCGGACAAGCTAACGGCAGCGACTCGGGTCCGTCAGTCGTCGCCGCACGCACTCCAAAGTAAGGTTTTTTACGCACTCTATCCTCGTAAGCGGCGGCGGCGGGGGTACAGAATGGCGCGCGCGTGCTGCACCGCGATGCTCCGAGACCCAATGTTGCTCTTATCCCCATTTGGGGACCAGCTGCGGTGGGGAAATTAGGGATGGAAGATCTCGCGGCCTATTTGGTTTGAGCTCGTGACATCCTACGCGTCCGTTTCGGTTTGTTCGAACGCGATTCGCGCAGCATGTTTGAAGTGGCGGACGCCGACATGATGATAAACTTACGGCTGAAGCGCCCTTTATTTATTTATTTGTTTCGTGTTGTTGGGGGCGCCGGGAACTCTCGAGTGCGTCATGATGCTCCTCCGTTTCGGGATAAAAAAAGGAAGGGGGAAAAAAAAAAAAAAAGGAGCGGACGACGGTTTGCGCTATTACGCGTCTCCCTTGTACTTTATTTATTTACTTCTCTCGCGTAATTAGAAAAAAAAAGAGGTTGTTTCTGAATGGTGTGATATAGCTCTCCGGAGGATACAAACAGAAGCGAAGGGGGAAAAAAAGAAAAGAAAAAGGGGAATGGATGGATGGACGAAACAGACTCTCTGTCTGCGCGACGGTAAGGACCCAACACTTTTTTCGAATCTTTGTTAAACCTCTGTGGTGTTCGTGGGTGGGTCGCATTTTAATGGCTCCACCGCCTTTTTTTTTCCCCTCTTCTTGAAATGGCCGGAGCCGACGATGGCTCGGAAGCGCATTAAAGAGGTTTATATTGTTTCAATTTCAGCTCTTGTTTGCTTCTTTTTTTTTTTTTTTTCGTTTTCCTTTTTTTTGTTGTATGATTGGGAGTCTGATGGCCGGTAATGGGAGGGGGCTTTTCGTTAGCGAAATGGCCCAACATTTGCGGCCACTATATTATACACTTGTCAAAGGCTCTCTATATAAAACGAGTGCTTCTTTCGCGTGGCTGGCTGGGTTTATATAATGTTCTCGCACGCCGTAGCATACGCTTTACCTTTCGCATCTCGCCTCGTTACACAGTCAAGGGATCTGTTAAATCGTCGATGGGAGCTCGTGATCTTATAGCTGTTCGCCCGTGTCATGCGATAGGTACGTTCGAGACCCATGTCTTTTTGTGCGATGTATGGGCGGTGCCACTGCGGTTGTGTGAACACAAGCTTGATTCGAATAGCGCTGCGTCATTCGTAGCCTTCGCAGCTCAAGGGCAGGACTCTCGACATGCGGGTTCTCTTCTTCTCAGTGTTGAAACTAGAAGTGACACTTCGAATATAGTCCCGAGAAGTTCCCGTGGCGCCCCCTTACGGTGAACCGGGGTGACGTCACGGCGAGGAGAGAATTTTTCCCCGACTCGCCCCGCTCGCCTTGTGGAGACTGTGACGACGCTAGCTGTCGGCGCGCTAGTTTCGATTTAATTTTTTTTGCGTGTTTTTCTTAGGAAGTGTGAATTATTATAAGTGCTTTTATTGAGGTATGGCCTGTAGCTACAGGCGAAACTTCAACCAGCATATTAAGCATGGTTGAGAGGGCAGGCAACGCATAAGTCACAGCTGGTATATGAAAATAAAGAAATATGGCCACAATTGCCGGAGCATCACTATAGATTTACATCTCGCACAATAAATGCTGCTGATGGTCTGAATGAATTGGCAGGTTATGTATACTATTTTTTTGTATCTCTGTTTTTAAACAAGATCGCCGAAGCAGAAAAGCTGCATGCTGCTCAAGCAACATGCTAAGTACACTCTGGGCCATGGGGAGAGAATTGCAAGTAAGACAGCCCAACTGCAGGCGCTAAGTAAAAAAAAAACACGCAACATTTATTATATACATTGCTCGCATTTCACCTTTGCTGGATTCGGATAGTATTTCAATGGGCTCCACTGGTTGTATCTGTACTCTTGTTTATATCATCCCTCAAGTAATGTACAACAAATGTAAGCGAAGGTGTCTAGCTCGTTATTAGTCCCTGAAGCCCTAAAATTGAGATTTGACTTAAATCGAAATGTCCTGAAGCTAAAATACCAGAAGCTTTTCTCACGCAGACTGTCGCCCTTCACAGGTTCTACATTTTCTGCTACTGGTGCTGCATGTACCACTGGACAGACGTTCGAATGCTTGCTTTTACTCCTGTTTTCCTCTGTTGTCAGAGAGTCTAGCGGTAGGGAGTTTAGAGGCTGAGGAAGCTTTTGGGGACCTGCAGCAGTGTCTCTTTTAATTGGAAATGACAATTTAGGCTGAACGGTGTATTTTCCGAATACCCAAGTCTGGAATAAAGAATGTCAGGAAAAAGTATAAACATTCCAAATTACGGCACTATTGCCGTGCATAGTTTGGCAGTTCAATACATATCATACAGATAACTGGGGGCGATTCGGCCGTTTTTGCTGCTACCATGCAAACTAATTTCTAGTAATTGTGCATCTTCTAAGAAATATGCCTGCATACGTGTATAAACTATATAATTAATTCAGAAAGAAGCTACATTTATGTAAAACAACCCTGTTCCACGAGCACTTCAAAGATCATCAGACGCAGGGCCTTTAAAACATTTGCGAACCAGCGCATGCAGAGTGGCAGCGCAGAGTCGGGGTCGCGAGCTAATTTGCCAACACCCCCAAAGGCCCATTTCAAATGTCTTGAAAGCGGAATGTCATATCGTCCTAAATCATGAACATGCAAGAAACAGAATTCAAGCGTCTGAAACACTTGCGCCACCGCTTCTACGACCCCTCGCAAGATTGCCTTGTGTCTTGTGGACGGACTGGGAGGTTCCTCGGCGGAATTGCCTCCGACGATAGCTTTCGGGATTTGTAATCCAATTTTAAAGGTAAAGGGGTCAAGCAGGCTTATAAAATGTACGGAAGCACGTCAATACCAGCCTAACTAAACGTCATGTACACCGGGTAAACGAAGTCCAGCTCCTCGAAGAGCTTACGGCACGCAACGCCAAACCAGGAGACCGGTGCTGGGAAGCGAGCCGATGCGAGATCGCGGAGCGGAGTCCTCCCCCTGATGTCACAGTACACCTCACCCAATCAGGGCGCGGCGACCGCAGCGACGCTTCTGTTCGCTCTCGGGGCTAATGGTCAACTGGGACGTGGATCCGTCCCGAGTATACATGGTGTCCCCCCAAACAAAGTTACAAGGTTGTTTTTTTTTCTTTTTTTTTATTTAATTACACATTTCTGGACGCGTATTCTCCGTCCAAATTTAGCGCTTTAGTGGCCCGAACCAAAATGTCAAAGTCTCAGAACAAACCGTTATCTTATTCGAAAGTCATAAGTGATTTTCTGAACATATCGGTGGGAGATGATGGCCGATGGAGGCCATCATCTTCCGAGGAACTTTTTTTGGGGGAAGGGGGAGGGGTAGGGTTCCGGTGCAGCGGCGTAGACTTTCAATTTTCCCCGGGGGGGGGGGGGGGGGGGGGGGGGCAGGCTGAGCTCTCCCCCCGGAGGGGGGGGGGGGGGTGCTTCGCGTTACCTTTTCGCCAGAACAGATTGAAGCTAACGAAAGCACGCTGTAATTCCATTTCCCATGTATTTTGTCAATAAAGGCAACGTGGGCGTTATTTTGTTTACATGCCGCTACTAGAAGCTCGTCACATGGCACGTAGACAGCGTCTCGGTAACGATCTTGGCCGGGGGGGGGGGAAGGGGGAAAAGCACGAGCCCCGATGCCCCCCCCCCCCCCCCCCCGTAGCCTATGCCTATGTTCCGGTGTGTTCGGAGTTTTTTATTCGTCAAATTTGGAGTGTGTCGTTTTTTTTTTTTAGTTTATTATTGGACAAAATTCGGAGTTTATCGGATTTTATTTTTGTTAAAATTCCCAATTCTCCGAAGCTTCCCCCCTTGGCTAGGCCACTGGGCCCAATGCGTAATAAACAGAAAAAAAAAAAAAAAAACAAAGCAAGAAAAAAAATTAAAACGCACGCGAGCTGGTTAATGTGTAGTGGCCGAGGAGGTCGTTTGAATTGTGAGCTGTGTTAAAAAGTTCGTTGTTCTCTCCGTTTTTTTTTTTTTTTTTTTGATTCCTATTTTTTAGGGTTACTATGGAGGTTGGGCAAGCAGGCCTCAGTGAATCACGCGTTAGCCTTTAGCGACTTCAAGGTTCGCTTACGTCGCCCGAAAGGATTGGCTAAACAGCGTCCGCTTTTCGATAAACGGTGTTTCCCTAAACTGAGGCTGCGCCTTCCCTAGACCGAGCTTCGATGAAAACGTTCCCGTTCTCTAAAACGTGTTTCGATGGAATAGTGTGCGATCAACCATAGCTTGTAGACCCTGAATTACGTGACTTCGGCTCTGGGAGTCGAACCGGAATAATGACCGGTTCGACCCCCGGGGAGTCAAACGGGTCGTTATTCCGGTTTGGTTAGGGTTCGCGTTTGGGCTCAAAGCTTTGCATTTGTTCCGGTTCGATTCCGGTTCAGTGATGAATTTAAAATAGCGGCTCGCTTACCAGTTCCACCAAGCACAAACCGGTTTAAACAGGTTCTTAAAAAGAAAACTCCACAACTCCAAGCCGTTTAAGAAAAAAAAGTGTGTTCAACACGGTGTCCTCTGCATTAAAAAAACAAACAAAAAAAAGACAATTTAATTAAAAGTCGTGTTTTGGAAAGGAGGGCAGCAAAACCAATATAGACTTAATTTTTTCTTGTGATCTTGACTTTTTCATCGCAAACACCGTTCTACGCAAATTAAGTGCTCTTACAACCGCTTAAAAAAATCACCAAAGCGCAGTATACTCACTTGAGAAGTCAATCAGCCGGGACGCACAATGAGACCGCGAAGGAGATAAAAGTAAATAGGCTTTTGAAAAACCCACAAAACAAAAATTTCTTCAAGTAGCGTCCAGGACTCTGGACTGCTCTGGAATTTACCACAGCGGAACAAACAAGCACACAACCAACGACTTTTTTTTTTTTTTTTTTTTTGAAGGATAACGTACGTTTAGCAACAAGACATTAAAATCCACGCACACACATGCACAAACACGTGACACACA